CACAAATTGAAATATAACCTGGACATAAAATATTTAATAATATATAATGTATAATCGTCAACAGAAACTTTGAATAATAAAGCTTCATCAATTGTCAAGCCTAGAACAGTTCTTATAAATCGTACTTCAATCTAAATCAGAATAAAGCTTCTCACCACCAAACATTTGAAGGACAGAAATATAAATGCAGGTGATGATTCAGCTTATTTCCCTAGAAATCTCAAGTTGTTGTTTTCAGACTGCTAAAGCACAGTTAGTTAAGTGGCTGGAACAATTCATGCCCGCTTTGTTGATTGCTGCTACTATATACCTTGATCTAGTCAAGAGGGTATAATTTCAAAAAAACTTCTTAGTTGGAGTAATTTTTGAAGAAAAAAAATTATAATGTACAAACTATAGACCACTTAAAGTTTTCATAATATATGAGGACTGTATTAATTGCAGCCTACCACCACGGTAAAGTGAATATATCTGCAAGAAAACCCCGCAATTTAAAAAAAAAACCGAAAATAATTAATTTAATTACTGCAATTTAGTGAAATACACTAGACAACACCAATTTTCTTACAACCTACACTTTTCCTGTCTGATGTATTTTCTGTTTTATTTTACGCACATAAATTCCAAAGCAGTATACCAAAGGAAACTATAGTATATTGTGTGCATAATTTCTAAACACTTTAGTTTGTTGTTGAGGTATAAAAAGTCGAATGTCACTTAGCAAAATCATACACTTTTATCTACTTTGTTAGGTAAACACATAAACTCGTATATTATGTAACTACTTGACTATGAAATCACTTAACCGACTCTTTAATCTAATGGCTTAAATTTAAGTATTTTAGTTAATAAATCTACGCATCTAGTAGCGGAACTTAAATATCGGCTGTGAGATATAGTCATTGAAAGAGGAAGATATGAAAAGGCTAGCCATCCCTGACTACAAGTGTTTCCAGCGTTCTTTCTCCTGTTTTAAGTGGTATAATACGGTAAGTAATGTTTGAGCTACGCGTAGATTGATAGGTGTAGAGGAGAAATCATCCAATGAAGTTGTGAAGGTATGTTGACTGAGATGGCTAGGACACTCTTTGTATATAACGAGCCATCACCTTACTCGACAAGCAATGTTAACTGACACAAGATTAGGTTGGAAAAAAGTTGTGGGTGGTCAAAACAAACCCCAGAAGTCTTTGATAACTCGTTTCAGCCAGTCACTTAAGGAAGTGTAGACCTTTCAGATGCTATTGTTATTATTCTCTTGGGTTCCAAGTGGAAAATAGGACTTCAACAACACATCTCCACTTTTTATTTTTCTACCATCCTCTTTATCTGTGTCCCCGATTGCCCATAATCTCTCACCTCCTCCTTACCATACAACCTCCTACATGTCACCCTCACACTAACGACCCACTCTTCACTCTCCATTCGGATCCCACTCGATCGGTGGCCTGCACTGTGCGCGATTTCATTAGACGGCCACCTCAACATATGCCCAATGCGCCCCCATTTTCTTCCACATATTTGTTGAGCAATCGGCTCTTGGTTAGTTTGTCGCCAGCCAGAGTTCCTTATTGCTAATTCCTTCTGGCCGGCCGGCCACTAGATCTTCAGTATGGAGCCAGCGAATCTGCCACCTTGTCGAAATCCCTTTTGTGACACGCAGTGGAAGTTCCTGACCCGTATAGAAAAACCGACTTCACACTGGTGTTCAAAATTCGATTCTTTATCTTTATGCTGGCTGAGTGGAGAAGATTTCCAAACTGGTTTCAGGTTGATGATGGCATATCCTGCCATCATCATATATTCCGCCTGTAGTTGGAACGGTACTGGTTGCCTAGATAAGTGAAGGAGGTCACCTCTGTTGAGTCTCTCCCAGTGATTATGATTCCTGCTGGTTGTTGTTTTTGCTGTTGGCTGGTTATCTTCATCACCTCCGTCTTCCCTATTTTCATTTGGATTATTGTCTTCACAGACAGTCTCTTCAGCCAGTTTGTTCTTATTTGCCTGTAAGTCTTCGAGTTCGTGTAAAATTAGATATAAATCGTCTGGTCGAATGTATTTCTGTCCTGTCGCTGCCAACGCCCATTCTGACGCATAATGCAGTCCACCACCACAATTAAGAATATCATCGGTGAGAGTAGGCAGCCAGCTTGTCTTAATCCTGTATTCACTTTGTACGCCTAGATGAGTTTTCCGTAGGGTAAGGTCACGTAGGGTTTTCTGAATGTTAAAAAAAACAACGGCTTCAGAATAATGATGATGATGTGGCTTAAAACCGTTCCACATGGTGTAGATGCATTCACTATTTGAAATTTTCGAGATCCATCGAATCCCTATGCTTTTCCATGCTACTATTCTTTCACTCATACATTTCTGCTCATTATATTTCATTAGAATTTCGTTTTCCACTTCTCTCTACCTTTGTGTGCAGCACAGAGGGTGACAACTTGAAACCTTGCACTTTTGTGCAGAGTTGTTCGTTCAAGTCCAGCCAGTCATACTCAGAACAATTGTTAACTTTAAGCTACATAAAAAAATGTAATTCAAATAATGTGGATATAAGGTATTTGGCAAAAAAAACATGTCAGGTAAAATAAAAAGGTGGTGAAATGTGGACACTTCTTCGTACATACATAAATATCTATATATGATTAGTTCTTAAATGATGTGATATTATTTTAGCATAATCTCAGATCTCAGACAGATCTATACAATATCTTCACTAAACAGCTATATCATCAAGAACAAGAAAACTCATTTATTGAACTCGTTAGATCGGGAACATACAGAAGCTTAGCGTGTATTGTTAAAGAGAACTATAAAAAGCTATGGAGACAGATGGAAGTGGCTGGCTGGCTGGATTCAGCATAGAACTTGGCACCGAAGTGCAGCAGTTCCAGTTGCCACGTTCCAAATAGCACACAAAGGTAGACAAGAAAATGAGTGAAGACAATCAATAGAGTTTTGAAAAGCATAAGAGTGAAACAGAATGAGTAATGGTAGAAAAGAATATGAAAGATTACAGAGATTGAATACATCTGCGCCATTGACAACGATTTTCAGCCATGTTACCCATTGTATCCAGCCATTGATTCTTAGATTCCCGAGGGCCCCAACCCGGAAGTAGACAGATGGAAGTGACAAATGATAAAACAGTTACAGAAGTGACTATATGTTTTCAAGAATTAGTTCGTATGGATTCTATTTGTTTTAGGTTAGACCACGAATTGAGAGAACAACTGAAAACCAGGAAGTACTGGACAGCTGTTTCGTCAGCCCAATTTGGGACTCATTGGCAGAAGGCACCCATCACAGGGGTTCGAGCCCAGGACCCTCCGCCCACAAGGCAAACTCGTAAACCATTCAGCCATTGAGACCCAATTCGGTTACCAGCCCATGAATTCTAATACTCAATACACGAATTGGTAGAAGTTAGAATTCATGGGCTGTTAGACGAATTGAGTCCCAGTGCCTTGTAACCAAAAGGTCCTGGGTTTGCACCATGGCTGTGAGTGCGTGCTGCAGATGAGTCCCCGACTAGGATGAAACAGCTGTCCAGTACTCTCTGGTTTTCAATGATTCTCTAACTGATATCAATCTGTGGTCTAACCACAAGTAATTATATAACCTAGACATGAGGAAATCACTTCGCATTTTCTTATTACATTTCAAAATGAAAAATACAAAGAAACTGACGCTTGTCTTGACTCTAAGCCAAGTTGAAAGCCACACAGAGTTGTGTCATCGGCAAATGTCTCTTCTATGAGGAGAGAACCTCTAATAGAAACTAAGCAGATATCAACATAATGTTATTTTGGCAAATGATGACTAGTGTAGGAATCCAGGATGTGGATTTCTTTCTACTTTAGACTTGTTAGTTGAGTGTACTTATATTCTCAGTGAGTAATGATTGCCTTCTCACTTAGACTCAACCTCTGCAACTATCTTCCAGTCGCCAAAGTAGGTGCATCCAGATGACCAGTCGTAAAAAGGACAGAATATGCATCCTAGATTCCACTCACAGTAATCATCAACCAAGAAAATATTGAATATCGTCAAAACGTCCGTATTAGGATCGCATATATCAACAGAGATTGAGAATTTCGGTGTGAGAAAATGAATCAATGGAAAATGCAAATCAACCTTTAAAAAAAGAATAAACATGGACATTCCTCATCCTACCAGAAGGAATGATAAAATTACGTCTCAATCATCAAGTGTTAGCTTGTTGAGATTTGATTGGCTACAATTTTGATTAGAGATTGCCGTCAGTTTAAGAACTACTGAAAACCAAGAAGTACTGAGTAGCTGTTTCCTTCTCGCCTAGGACTCTTCAACAGCACTCACCCACGAATTCACAGGGAATTAAACGTAAAATCTTTAACTTTTGAGGCAAACCCATTGACCATTCAGTCAATGGGACGCAATCCATTGGCCTACCAATTCACGACTTTAGCGCAACCACCAGGCCAGAAGTTAGATTTGATGAGCTATTGGATTGCGTCTCAGTGGCCAAACTGTCAGCGAGTTCACCTTGTAACCTAAAGGTTTTAAGTTTGATCTTCGGTGAGGTAGAGGATGAGTACTGTTGAAGACTGAGAAAGTAGGATGACATATTGTGGGATACTCAATCCGAGATCAAATTGATTTAAGTCACTTAAGGATCAGTAAATCGTGGAAACGGGAACAGAGATAGGCCTACTGAGAGTCCCTTTTTTCTTTTAGATTTTCTCTCCTTCTGCGTTAATTACTTCGCCAATGATTAATCACTGAAGATGAATATTTAGACTGATGATGTCATTACCAATATTGATTGGCGCACCACTAAATACAAGAACGGCGACTTGCTGACACGATAGCATCAGACGATAACAGTAGTAGTGTTTGTTGAAGTTTAATTAATTAGTAGACGTTTAAGGGCTGTTGAAATATACATTAATCAAAAGAAAATACTTAATATATTGTAAATATACCAATAAACAATTTGTTCAACTGATCACCTACACCTAATTCACAGACGATGAATCATTTTTAATGAAAAGATCAAAATAAAGATGAATATATGTAAAGCGTTCTATGACTACTACTATTTCTAATTATTACTAATGTATTACTAATACTATTGTTTATAAACTTACTTTGAACTGTATATTCAATAATTCCATTAGTATATTATGTGCGCCTAAATGACGTAAAAGTTGTTGGATTTGTTCAAATGGAAATGAAGACAATGACGATGTGATGATGTTGATGATGATGATCTTGGTGTGTGCTGTGGTGGTGATGATGATGATGATGATAATAACGGTGACGATGGTCGCGATGATTCATGCTCTCCATGAATGGCACCAAACGGCTGACTGGTTATTTCTGTACTAGTATCCAGACTGGTGTCTTTTAATATGTTTGCATTATTATTTTGTAAGAAGAGGGAATGACTTTGGCGAGACAGTTTACGGCTTTCAATTGATTCAGGTTGGCATATTGAAATAATATTACACAGAATCTGCGTATTGGATGGCAATAAAAGGGAGGAAAAATGGAATTATATGTGAAAATTAATGGAGATCAATGCAGCACAATGATCCAGTATTGAATGACGATTCGACTACAATTCATCACTGCTCAGAATCATATCAAGGCACTTACATAACTTTCCAGTTTCGTTAGTATCATCCTATTATTTCTCTGAATAATGAAGAAAAGAAGAGTGCTAGAAAAGAGAAAAGACAATTCTACGACATTGAAATAAGAACAAATTAGTTCAGCGAAGAGTCTCTTTTCGGCGAATTCACTCACTTATCTGTACAGTCGCAAATATATACAATTAATTTTGTGTGTGTGTGTGTACATTAGGTTTGTCAAAATCAAAATAACGGTTGGTGTGGGTTGTTGATTACATCATCAAAATAAATAAGAAATTAAAATGTGTGATTAATAATCAAAGTTGTAACTAAGTGAGGTGAAGATTGTTAAGATGTGAGTAGGGTTACGTAATATAGACATGTTTAGAAAGATTAGATGTTAGTGAAGGAGTATGGAGACAATTATGAAAATAAACTAGATAATAGGTGAAAAGATTGAATGGGTTAGTTACTAAAAATTATTATACGAAAATTGCAAAAAAATTTGATAACAAAATGTTGATGACAGATAAACTTGAAGAGAGAAGTGGAGAAGTTTCTTCTGTGTGCAGAAATCAGGCTTTTCTATCCAAATCGCTAAGGCTTCGGCAATACAAAGTATACGGAAGCTTGTCGATTTTGGAAGGCTTCTTTTGACTTTATAGATGACTTTGAACGACTTCTCCTTGCAAATCAAATGCTTAATAAATGCACTCCTTATTGTTCCGTTGTTGCCTTTCCGTAGCAAGGCGGGAGCGCCATTATTGAGCATGTACTCAACACTGGTCATTCGATTTGCAAGGAGAAGTCGTTCAAAGTCATCTATAAAGTCAAAAGAAGCCTTCCAAAATCGACAAGCTTCCGTATACTTTGTATTGCCGAAGCCTTAGCGATTTGGATAGAAAAGCCTGATTTCTGCACACAGAAGAAACTTCTCCACTTCTCTCTTCAAGTTTATCTGTCATCAACATTTTGTTATCAAATTTTTTTGCAATTTTCGTATAATAATTTTTAGTAACTAACCCATTCAATCTTTTCACCTATTATCTAGTTTATTTTCATAATTGTCTCCATACTCCTTCACTAACATCTAATCTTTCTAAACATGTCTATATTACGTAACCCTACTCACATCTTAACAATCTTCACCTCACTTAGTTACAACTTTGATTATTAATCACACATTTTAATTTCTTATTTATTTTGATGATGTAATCAACAACCCACACCAACCGTTATTTTGATTTTGACAAACCTAATGTACACACACACACACAAAATTAATTGTATATATTTGCGACTGTACAGATAAGTGAGTGAATTCGCCGAAAAGAGACTCTTCGCTGAACTAATTTGTTCTTATTTCAATGTCTTAATGGGTATTTTTTGCGAATTCTACGACACACTGGTTGTCGGCAACTGAAACAGAACGGGCAGGCCTCAGAACATTATATCAGATAACCAAGTCTCTATATACGGGAAGAGATCAACCCAGACGAGGAAACCAATAAAACATGTTCAAGGGAACCTGATCACCAAGGAGAAGAAACAAATAAAACAATGAATGAACTGATCACTTTAAAGGACTCTTGAATCGACCACCACCAGCAAAACGCCCAGAAATACCAACAACAGCACGCACACATTTGCCAGTTGGCAGTACTGGGCCTTATATTTATCCTACTTTATAATGAAGATAGTGACAGTGTGCTAACCACTCCACTTCTCCGGGGAAAATGCATCAGCCTTTATCGAACGATTGCTAACGAAACCTTACCAGAGATACAAAAGGCTTTGTACGGCATCTTATAACTTACTCCATCTCTTGAGTAGACGTGATTTCCGGTTATTGATCAAATGACGTGTGTACTATGTGAGACATGTTCACTGAAAGTGTGAGACGTAAAAAAGGCTAGCTGTCTTTGACCACAGACACTTGCATTAAATCTCCCATGCTAAGTGGTAAAACATAGAGTGTTAGATAAGAAAGACAAGTTGGTTGACATGGTTGTGAAGCCTAATCGGACGAGCAGGCCAGAACAAACGTTGCACATGCTAATCCACCGCCTTCCTCGATAACTAATATTAGCCTATATAGGATTAGGCTGGAAAAGAGTCAGGGGTGCTCAAAACGAAATCTGGCGTCCATTCATGAAATCTTTCACAGTTGATTTTGTCCAGTCACATAGGCAAGTATAGACTGCTTAGTCAATGTTGTCGGGATTCTAAGAACGAATGGCTGTGGGGGGGCTACTGGTGATACAGCACAGATGCATTTACTCTTCGTAACCTCGCCGATTCACTGAATTCGCATTATTCTTTATGTCATCATTCATTTCTTCATCCATTTCTTTTCATCATTTTTTTTATTCATTTACGTTCCCAGTGGAACACAGGGTGACTTCAAGCTAGAGGCTTGAAGTTTCAGTAGCAGTAGCGATTATTTTTACAGGATGGGGTTGCCAGCCTTATTCCCAACCTTCCCTCTTCACCAGTCTTATTAATGACTTAGCGAGGTAAAGGAGTGCGTTGGTGGCCGGGGATCGGACTCCGGACCACCTGCGTGGTCGGTGAGCAGTCTACTGCGTGCCACTGACGCAGCTGTTCATTATAGTTCTTTCTAATCTATTTTTTCTGTTTTTTCCCGATCCTGGTGAGTTACATGGAGAGTGGCAGCTTCCACCGCCATATATAATAATAATAATTTATTTTTTTGTGGGAAGCTTGAAGTTGAAACTAAGTTAGACTGATTTCAGTGTGTTTCAATCACTCTTGTTAATCAGTAATGCATATCCCGTGTTTTTATTATCCCCCACTATTTTTTTTGTTGACGTCCAGTGTGGTGAAAATTATTTAATTATATATGTCTAACGAATATTTTTTTTAAATAATCCTCTGAAACATCTTTCTTATCTATTTTAGTCCCCTTATTGTCCATTATCTTACTAAATTTGCATGTGTGTTATCTGCTTTTGCATTTTCGCTTAATCTTCCAACCTCCCACGCTGGCTAACTCTTACAGTCATGCTAGTGTAAAGGCAACTAAAAATAACTCGAAAAAACTTAGACAATGAATAGTGCCATTATGGATACAAATTTGTTATTTTGATAAAATCATACAGTGTGTTATACAGTGAGTAATATTTACTGAGACCACTCACTCACACAACTTTCTTGCTTCGTTTATATACATGAGTAAAAATTCATAATGAGACACATTTGAATAAAAATCAATATAGGATAATGTACATTCAGAAATAATAATATTAGTGTTATCAGTCAAATACAGTCAGATGTGGATAAGATGTTTTTATAGTAAAAATAAATAAATAACTTATTAAGATGTTATAATGTGAATTGAATACATTTTAACATTATTTATTATCCTTCTCTGATTTGACTGGTGGTAATAATATCTTCCATATTTCTGGTATTTGCATTGAGACACTTCTTTTGCATGTGTTGTGTCGCGTGTAGACTCGATGAACAAGGATTCAGTAATCAATCAATCTCTCCACCTACCTATATCACTTTTTAGAATTTTGACTCTGTCCCACCCACCCTATCGTGTCGTTGTGTGGCCGTGTGTTAATGTATGCAGTGCAAAATGGTGCTGAGCTCCTTTCTAAATTACTTATCTTCGTGGGGTGAATCATTCTAACCTTAGCTAAATTCTTATGTTCTGATAATCTGGCTACCCTCTATCTACTAGTTTGACCTATGTAGTTGACTTAAATCACAGTTACTCCAAGGATTTTGTAAATTATATTATTTTGTTTAATTGGGTCCGAATATACTTTATCTCATATTGATTTTATTCAAATGTCTAATCGCATCAATGTTTACTCATGTATATAAATGAAGCAAGAAAGTTGTGTGAGTGAGTGCCTTGATATGATTATGAGTGACAATGATAATTTGCGCTCGAAACGTGGTGGCATCAGTAAATATTACTTGCTGTATAACATACTGTATGATTCTATCAAAATAAAATATTATCTATAATGGATTTATACTCTACCACAGTGCCCAAGTTTTATACTTATATCAACTACGCACACCATTTTGACTGAGAAAATGTGTGAATTTTAGACCATGGAAGCACCGAAAATATCAGAGAATTTCTAGAAGCATCATACTTAGACGAATCAGCTATCAATATACACATTACTGCATATCAAACTTATCAGTTAATAATGAATATAACTCACACGAAGTTAAAGTCAAATTCCAGGTTAATGAAAATGATCAGAAAAAATGTGAATCAACAGCCCAATACGACAAAGGTTACAAGCAAATATAATTACTTAACATTCATATAGAGAATACAAATCAGTTCATTTCATATCGAAGTCTGCTCTGAAGATATTGTAGAGCACCTTTGCAACTATTTCAACAAGCTGAGAGAACTCAACCACAGTAAAATTATCCATTTGAGCTACAAACCTTCTCTGGTAAATATATATATATGTTCTCTGCCATAGAATGCCACCACCTAAGTGTTGTAAAACATAAATATCTGACCAGTTATTCTCTACCAGAAAATTCATTATTGATGGCGCTGGATATCGGTATGGATATCATGTTTACATCTTGGAGAGAGTTCTGTTACGAGTGCTGAATCGTAATGCGCTAACTTCAAAACATGACGCAAATTATTGACATTACACTAGAGAAGCCATTCACTTTCAAAATCTTAAGGTTAGTAATTTGCCAGTGATTAACAAATTCTGACTGCTTCTCTTCATCAAGTCAATTGATAATGAATTCCACTTCAAATAAAGGACTCACGGTGTGTTATGTTAAAACTGTTTTATACAACTTAAAAATCCCCATTGAGTCATATAAAAGAAAAGGTGTTCATAAAGGAGTCACTGTTTTAGGTGGTATCAGTAATGCGAAGAATTTGAAGGACAACCTGATCATTTTCAACAGCTGCTATCCTGCAATTCAATTCATATTAGAGGAGGGGTTCGGCACAGAAATATCCTTTCTGAATGTCCAATTAACAAGACGTGAACAAGATGGAGCACACTAAAAAGATCCATCTACAGAAAGTCAACATGGAATGGACAACTCACTGACTTTCATAGTTGGGTGACTCTATATAAAAAATGAAACCTGATCTGTTCACTGAGCCATAGATTCCGTTGCATTTGCAGCCCTGAGATTGCGGGAGACGAGCTGAATGTTCTGAAAAGAATCCTTCATGAAAATGGCTACCTAGAAGCTGCTGTTTGGGCATTCAATAAATCAATGACTTGTAGAAGTGTCTGCTTAAGAACAAACTGACAGCATTAATAGTAAGGTAATTTACCAATAGCAATAATAATAATAACATAACTTACATCTTTAACGAGATTGTAATTACTTGTTTGATGACTGCGTTCACTGTGAACCTGTCGGAATTATATTTTGAAAATACGAAAAAATAAAAAAGATTGGTTTCATAATTTTGACAAATGAAACAAAATTGGTCCAAAAAATTATTACTAACTTCAGTATTATGCAAGTAATACTCTACAAAACCAAATGTGGTCTCAATAAGCTATAATTTCCTTCAAGATTAGTTACGAGCTGGTTTAAGTTAGAAAACTGTCGAGAATCAGGATGTACCGGGTATCTATTTCGCCCCAGTTCAAGACTCTTCAGCACTGTGCACCCATGAACTCCTCCAAACACAGGATCTTCAGGTTTAACAGTGGGCTCATTGACCATTGAGCAAGTGAGACGAAATCCAGTAGCCCACTAATTCCAACTTCTTCCAATCCGCCATTTTTGGCGTGATATCCGGCCAGAGATTTGATTGGTTTCAAGTTTAATGATGGAATGACTTCAGTTAAAAAGTGCACTGAAAAGCAACCAGCAGTGGACGACCGTTTTGTCCTATTTTGGGACTCCTCAATAGCACATGCACATAGTCCTACCGGGAATTAAACTCATCCACTGAATAGCATCAGTATTAATCATAAAGCATTGTCAAATCCACTCTACCATTAAATGACATGTAAACAGAAGTTGAACCTACCGGTTCAATCAATCAGTAACGAAAGCAAAAGAGCCCCGGGAAAATTATAACTTAAACCCGCCGCATAAGAGTTGGCTGTCATGATCTAAGTGGTCTAGTGAAGTTTGACGTGATGGGTGCTGGGCTCGAGTTTCAGTAGAAGACCATAACTCACTAGGAGATGAGGGCACATCCAGACGACGAGTCTCAGGTAGGACGAAATGAGTATTCTGGATTCTACCGTTAGTCAATATATGTATATATAAAGCATGAATCTACATAGACTTCAAAAATGTTTTCAATTAATTGAGAAAGTTAGTCAAAATGACGTACTGACTGACAAAGTTACCTAGCATGTGCATGAGACATTTACTCTTTCAAAGGTTATAAAAAATTCAAATGTGATCGTTAGATTACCATTCTATTTCCTCGACATTGCAGTGAAGTATATTTTCGCTAACTTTATGTTATTAAGATGAAGAACTAAAAACGAAAATCCCAAGCTTATCGACTGAAACGAATGCATGTTTTAAGCAAATTTCTATATTTTCATGTCTATTAAAATAGGTACTGCCATTGAAAATAAAATCGAGGAAATAAGAAGCGAATTATGAAATATTAAACAATAGAGCATAAAAGTGTCTTTTAGTTTCATATAAATAAATTATGTCACGCGATACTTTATAGCACATAAGAAATTCTTCCTATATTTATCCCTGTAGAAAGTCTGACTTCGTTATTCAAGTTTATTTTGTCACTGTCTGCGATAATATGCCATAGACTAATTCATTCACATCCAGTCAATATAATTTATTGTTATGTTACGTCACGAGAGTGTGCCAGTTAGAGAACTATGGAAAACAACATGGGATAGCTGTCTCGCCTCAGTGCGGGACTCTACAGTAGTACACACTGATAGTCCCTTTGGGGATTGAACCCAAGGCCTTCAGGTTACGACGTGAGGCGATTGATCATTCAATTACAGGGATAGGAATCCAGTAGCACAGTAGTTACATAACACTGCAGTCAGAAAAGGTCAAATGAATGCATCTAACCTCAAACTCAGCTTGACAGATCCCACTGGTGATGACTTCTCACTAGAACTTCAGGGACTCCACCCCGAGAGTTAGTCATTAATAAGAGATTTGACTGAGTGGACAACTGTCCTGCCTCGTAACCTAAAATTCACACATTCGATCCCTGATGGGGTCAGGAATGAGTACTGCAGATGGGTTCTAGATTAATTTGAAGTAGCAACCTAGTACTACCTGGTCTTCAATGGTTCTCTAACTGATATCACATAGTGAAAGAATCAAATCCCTTCAAATCAACAATTAAATTTTTTTCGTTATATGTACCACTCATAATGCAAGCGAAAAGCAACAAGTTGACAGAAGAAGCATCAAAAATAGGACATCAGGTGAACATACAGAAAACAGAGGTGATGAAGATTCCTGGACAACAACACCAACAGCGACAACAACAGACATCAACCAGCATAAATGGGAGGAACCTGAAAGAAACAACCTCCTTTACCTACCTGAGACGCATCATTTCAGTTACAGGCGAAACTGATGAGGATATCAAAGCAAGGATTGGGAAAGCAAAATAAGATTTCATTACTCTCAAGTCTGTTTGGAGGTCAACAGCACTCAAATTGAAAAATAAGATCGGGATTTTCAACTCCGTGCCGATTTTCAGCTGTAATGTGAAGTCAGTGCTACTATACAGATGGGTCAGAGACCTGACGCGTCATAAAGAGCAACTCAAACAAACTACAGACCTTCATCAACAGCTGTCTTCGCTCAATACTCAAGATCAGATGGCAGGCTTGAAAAGACCAGCAATAGGGACCTGTGGGAGCGAACCAACCAGGAACCGATTGTGAAACAAATAGGCAGGAAGAAATGGAGATAGACTGGCCATACTCTAAGGAAGCCATCAAGTGACATCACTAGACTAGCCCTTGAGTGGAACCCAAATGTGAAGCAGCGAGTTGGTCGTCAGTGCAAGGGTGACTTGGAGGAGGTCATGTGAAGAGGAGATGAAAGCATGTGGGCAGACTTGGAGCCAGGTGAAAACTTTAACAGAGAACCAAACGCAATGGAGACGCGCGGCTGAAGCCCTATGTTCCTCTAGGAATTAAAGGAAAAAATAATAATTATAATAAAATCAATTACTATCAGCCCCCTTGAAATGTGCTAACTAAACTAAAAATATGATAAGCTTTCAGCTAAGTTCCTTTACCTGAAAATTACCACTAGAAGTCATCATATGAATGTCATTATTCATCCATAATTCAGACTTTTCAATTAATCCACGTAAAGTATCCAGACATCTTTTGAGTTGACGATAAACTTTGATCCCGGTATGCGATACCAACAGTTGCACCTGAAAAAAGAATTCACAAAAAAGAGTGGTAAAATAGGTAGAATTTGAAATTACTTTGAAAGAAATCCTGAAGACACCATTTAATTTCGGATGAGATGAATTTAAATTCTAAGATATTTGGGCTTTAATCTGTCTCATAAGTTATCTGTGAAGGCAAGCTTAGTTAAGTGTCTTACAAACTGAACAACAGCACTAAACAGTACGTCAAAATCTTAAATAATGAAATGAAACAGAAAGAAGAAGCGTTGGTGTCAAATAACGATCCGGTAAAATTCATTAAGAAGACAGCAAGACGTCAAGTTAAAAATAATACTGAAACCAATAATCATAGCATGAATAAGGAGGAATATAAGATATCTATAGTTCTACCATAAAATGAGGGGACATCTGAGACCCTACGTACGATTTTCAATAAAGCAGGAATTAGGGTGGCATTCAAACCTTTAAACTCAGAGAATTGCTGTGAGAATAACAGAAATAATTTCCAAAGGGCTACTAGAGAATTTCATCAACATGTGCTTTCTCTGTCTCGACCGGTCAGAAAGGATAAGGAACAAAAAGTTCTATCAACGAACCCATTTACAATCTGTCACTCAACAAATATACCGAAAGAAATGGAGATATGTCGGACACACACTAACAAAACCGCTGAGTGATATTGCGCTCAAAGCTCTCTAGTTAAATGCAAATAAAAACACCGAGGTGGGCATGAATAAGGACGTGACACGGGATAGATTCTGTGAGGAGATGATGTAAGCTTATAGGCGTTTATTGAGCCAGGTAAAAAGGAATTCACAGAACACCTTGAAATACGGATATGTTGCTGAAGCCCAGTTCTCCTCTGGGAGCCCGCGGGAATAATAATAATTATAAATAATTTTTCAAGTAAGTAGTTGGATTCAAAATCAACGATTGACAGGGAATCTTTTCATTTGGATGACAAGATATTTAAGCCATCAAGATTATATTTTGTCAACAGTACAAGAAAAGGGCGATACATATAACCTTGGTTATTTATATATCTTAGTAAATTTCATTCATTCACACAAAGTATACGTGCTGCTAACAATTTAGGAAGCTTATTAAACTTGCCTGTTTAAACTTTACAATAAGTTCTTCTTGTTGACCGAAATGTCGAAATAACAGTTGCAAAGATTTCGACTTTAACTCAACACTTGTAGAAATGCATAGACGAGCTAAAACGCTAACCAACAGCTGACCATTATAACCATCTATATTCAGGATAGTCAGTTTATTTTGCACCATTTCACAACCATTTGGTTCATCAGTTCCTTTTTCAACTCTGCAGATAACAAAATGAAAAATAGTGAGATATATGTGTACGTGGTCAAATTTAAGTTCAGCATATGTAGTTAAATAATTATCGTATAAATCAAAGTTTTCATGTGTTGGTTTCTAGGGATATAAACAATCTCATGTTAGACTTCGTCACCAACCAACGTCATCCACAGAATCACTGAACATAATGAAGTACTAAACAGCTGTCTCGTCCTAGTTTAGGACTCTTCAGAGACACCAGCTCATGGCTTTACGGGTGGTTTTTTTGATTATAGCTTGAAACCACACAGTATTTTTAGTACAATTATGGAATTTTCAGCATGTGATATCGGTAGTGCAAATTTTGCAGGCCAATCACTGATATCAAATGTGTGTCGGCAGAGGATCGAACCCCGAATCATGTGCATGGTCGGCGAGAGTCTTAACCGCTGTGCTGCCGACGCTACCGACGTTGAAACCGGAACTTTCAGGTTACCGTATAACCAAGTCCGTTCTGCCTAAGTATTTTAGAAGCGAGAGACCTTTAATGCTACTGATTTTTACCGTTTTATGCTCTTCTTATGGTTTCTGTAGTGGTATTATTCTGCAACACGAAAACAAGACTTCAGCAAAGTGTGCTCCCAAAAATTCAACCGCTTTTTATCTTTATCTCTTGTCATACCCGTAAAATGAATAAGGTATTTCAGAGGTCATTATTGAATTTAAATATTACGCCTTTTCAGATTGTAGGCATTTTTTGAATTTACAATAATTCCTAGCCTTCCTAGTGAAACAGTGAATTTCACAGTTTTGAAGTTTTAGTTGCTAACGTCACGTCCAACCTTCCCTTTTACCGATCTTTTTATAGGTTAAACAAATTCAAGGAAGAAGAACCTCCTGCGTGGTACTCGAGCATTTCACCATTGAACCATCGACGAGGTAGCAAGAAATGACTGCTTTCTATCTAATCTATAACTAATTATTGTAATTTATTAAAACAACTTTTAGATGACTGTCGAGATAAATCTAAAATCAACCAATCAGCTTTAAACCTTTACAAAACTGCAGTATTCATAGATATCACAGTAAAGTAGTAAGCGCGAAATAAAGAAACTGAAACACTAATTTAAAAATCAAACCAACATGGATGTGAAAATTAAGAGAAAATTAAGGAATACATTTAAATCACACAGCAGATACATAAAGAATGCATCTGTAGCACAAAGGAGGAAAGCTGCTAACTACTGATCACCACAAGAAATCCTATGAGGTGGAGTACACCCTCTTTAATGTCTCAGCGCAATCGTCGAGAAGTATCTTCACATTTATGAAACTTAGAAAATCATTCCTAAAAAGCTACTGATGATAACATTCCATTCTAGCAAAATTAACTGACATCTAGACAACAGCCACCGCGGACTACCACTTGATTACTGCTTCTGTATGGTTCAGTGATTTGGCGAACACGTCACGAAAAGCATTTCAGACAGCCTATTGCAGACACTCATAAACAGATGCCTTCATCATCTCAATACTGAAGGTCAAATACCCGGCAAGAAATGAATTCAGGCAAAGCACAGACTAATCAAGAACTCACTGCCCTAAAAGTATGTCGAGGAAAGTGAATATGGATTTAACACACACTTAGGAGACTACTGAGTGAAATGCGAATGGAAAATGAAGCACTGAGCGTGTGTGTTCAACGGTGACACAGACAATATCATGTCAGTGGGAAATGAAAGTTTATGGGCAAGCTACAAATGCCAACAGAGAAGAGAGTGAAAAAGAGAGATGTGTTACTGAAGCCATTTGTTACACTCGGAACCCAAAAGAATAGTTATAGTATTGGCCACTTGATTGTAAATTGAGGATTTTAGATGAAATGATCACTAGACGCCTTATCAGATCACTTAAGGATGTGAATTTAGAAAAAGTCACACAATGACTGTCAGTCATTTGTATTTAGTGCAGCAATTGGTCAACGGACAGGCAAGCTAAAGTAGAAAAGCCTCGTACAAACGTGCACCAATTACTTTGAAATAAGAGTAGAGAAATGAAAATGACACGAACTGCCTGATGCAGCACAATTAATACACATGACGCTTTTTTACGCAATAATTATTACTCACTGTAAATGGAACAGAGTGGCAAGTTTACTTTTGACCAAATTGGACAGTTCTAAAAAGAAAACAAAAAAAGAAGAAGAACACTGGGATTATAGTTATCTCCAAAGTATTTATACCTAAGGATTACTAGTGAAGGATAAATTAAAGCTTGAGATGCAGCTAAAGGATCAGGACTAAAGACCTTCTGTTTCACTAGCCTGACAGTCTTGGGCAACTGAGCTACAAGAATTAACCGCTAAATTAGACCACCATCTCACTGCTCAACTGTCATATTAATAAATTGTACGGAACTCCCCGTCTATCATTACATCAGCTGACTAGCTGGATGTTCTTCTTCTACAGGTTTTCAGTAAGTCTTTTTCTATTTATCTAATTATAAAATACTCTTTTCATAAACTTTAATTTATCAGCATATATATTTTATGCTTCATACTGACTGGCTGACTGACTGAGTTGCCACATCCAGACGAAAAAGAGGTTCAGAAGAACTGTAATGAGCAGAAATCTGCGGCATAAAGGAGGAACATTACCAACGGAAAAACAGTTGAAGGTTTAACGGATATGATAGATCGTAAAGAGTGAGTGCATCTGTGCCACTGACAAAGATTTTGCATCATATCACCAACAGTCTCCAGTGATTGGATCTTAACGTCTTAAGGTCCCCAACCAGTCAGTCTACACCTCTCTTAGTGACTGGATCAAAACAACTTTCAAAGACCTCATGGACTTATGTCATGTTTTGATTCCAACCTAATCCTATGTCAGCAAATATATGTAGACCAGGTTCAGCGTATTCTGGAAACACTGTCACTAGTCTAAAATAGAGATACTGAATACATTTCATAATTACAGATATGAACAGGTTATAAGTCTGATACGTATACAAATAAACACTCTGTTCTGTTAACGTACACCTCCATTACATTTATACGACTCCATTTCACCAATCGAGTAACCGATCGAGTTAATAAACACAGTTCTTATGATTTTGATGTGATGATTGCTTTCTCTGAGCTGGGTGGTTAAGATTGCAAAGTTTTCATTGTCCTTATATAGAACATCACTTCAACACAAACATGTACATGAAATGAACTTAACAGGATTTTCCACAAAATGATATAACCATTTCTCCAGACAACTTTTGTCATGATTGCTTGATAATTTGTACAACAGTATTCACTGTTTTTATTGACCTGGAATTTGACTTTTGTTATTATGTGATTTATCCTTTATTAGTTAATAAATATGATCTATAGTAATGTCTTTAATCAGGCTTCTAAGAAACCCTGGCACTTCCGGTGTTTGATTGATTGGGGGATTTCATCATGAGCTAATATCGGTTAGAGAACCACTAGAAAACCAAGTGGGAGTACTGGACAGCTGTCTCGTCCCACTAGCTTGGGACTCTTCATCAGTGCGCACCCACCACCAGATTTCGAACCCACGACCTTCTGGTTACAAGGCTAGCTGGCTCTTAGACCATAAAGCGACTGGGATCCGATCCAGTCGCCAGTCAGGGAATTCTGACTTCTACCAATTCGTGATTTAGCGTGACCACTTCGCTGTCTTCTTCTCCGATGAGGAACTGTTCTAACTTTCAACCTGTTGTACCCTACTGGTCACGGCTTCCCACTATAACCCCAGATTAACTGCCTGAATAGGGTCAGTCTCTAGTGAGCATCAGATCAGTTTTCAAGTGTTGGTTTGTAGGGATTTTGTTTTCTGTTGTGTGGATATTTTGGTCTGCACAATAATGAATGAAGGGACTGTGTTGTGGTTTTTGTGCAATATCTGTTCTAAGTGGTTTTAAAGTCCACTCTTTACACATGATATTGATCTATGTGGATGGTTTCTCGTTGGTATTTCAAATTATATCAAAGCTTGCTGTAAAGATGTTTAGAAAGACAGCGACAGCTTCGTCATCCCTCAACAAAGAATGTAACCACACCAGAGTCATCCACCTTGTTCTTATGATTTTCTAATCTTATATACATCGATTTTTCACTCAGAAAAGTCTTCTTCTATGAGAAAGGATAATAGTAAATGAGTACTAATAATAATAAGCAGTTGACTAGCTAACTGCTAGGAAAGAAACATGTATACGTTTCGAAATACACGATATGCTCATTTCAACTTTGTTTATCTCTTAAACTTACTTGGCGAATGAGTTATTTTTAACAAAAATTATGAGAATTAAAGAGGAAAACAAATGGTGAGAGAAAACTGAGACAATGTATATTCACTGCAGACATCTTTAAATAAGACACCTAGAAGACAGTCAGTTATACAGATACTTTCCTAGACAGAATATTTTGGTGAAAAATGTTTATATATATATATATATACATGTATAAACTTTTATTTAGGTTTATGATAAATAATAAAGATAGGGAACATATTGTTTTGGAAATGTGATTTTTGCCATAAAACCAAAAAAATTACGACCAGATGTTAGTTAGTTGCTTAGGTAGTTGATTAGTTAGTTGGTTAGTTAGTAAGCTAGTTAGTTAGTTAGTGATATATATATATATATAATCTTCAGCGAAGAGACTCTTTTCAACGAATTTATTATCAAGCTGTACAATCGTATATATATGGTTTTTAACAAGTTATATCCGGTGAACGTGTCAATACATGAAATAATAATAGTAGTATGAAATGCAATTAAAACTAAAATATTTGTGATTATAATCATAAGATTTGATAGTGTGGAAAATTCCCATATTATGAATTAAAAGTCAATCTGAACGAAGAATATTCTTTTCAATAATTTCTCTTCAGTTTCTTACAATTATAAAATATAATATTCGTTGTCGTTACAATAAAGGCCAGTTATGCGGCAGATACATTTTTTAACGTAGAATAACGTTTGTCACACAAATACGACTATTTATTTTGACACCCCATAACTTATCTGTTATTCTACGTTAAAAAATTTATCTGCCGCATAACTGGCCTTATTGTAACGACAACAAATATTATATTTTATAATTGTAAGAACCTGGAGAGAAATTATTATAATCATAGTTTAATGTCAAGTGGCAAAACAATTATTGTCATATATAGAATAATTCATAGGATGTTCTCGTATCCGTGTGGAAAGCGTCCTCTGACTACGGCCAATGTACTTTGCTCCACAAGAGCAAGTGAACTGATAGATGCACATGGAGGCGGCCAGATGTGGGAGCTTATCTTTTACACACGGATACGAGAACATATTCCAGCATGGTTTTACAAGGGAGAAAGGAAGTGTGTGCGAAGCTCTATTTTGGAACACCTGATCGACTTCTGTCACTCTGTCAACCCTGACCATGATTTTAAGATCATATGTAGAATCCATGCTAACTTCCCGCGTTTTCTTCGTTACAGACTTCTAAAGACAGCTGAGGTCTTGGCAATTCATGACTGTAAGCCAGACCTTTGTGTACAAAAGAAGTATGTACAATCCCTACTTCTGCCTTGGTCGTAGAGGGATAGACATTTATTTATTTTGTTTATTCAGCTATTCTATGTACTTTTCCCTTATTACTACGATTATTATTATCATTATTATTATTATCATTGTTATTATTACTACTCTCACTCTGAATCTTCTACACTTGACCGACTTGTCATTTTAAACACAAAATTATTAAATTTTTTTATTTTTATTTTTATAATAATGAATTCTATCTTATCAAATTTCACACCATGTTATGTAACATTTTATATTCGTCTACTAATCTTATATTTATGTACCCCTTTCCTAAATTCTATACACCTTATATATTATTCTATATATGACATTAATTGTTTTGCCACTTGACATTAAACTATGATTATAATCACAAATATTTTAATTGCATTTCATACTACTATTATTATTTCATGTATTCACACCTTTGACCTAATTCCCTCACCGGATATAATTTTTATAAAAACCATATATATACGATTGTACAGCTTGATAATAAATTCGTTGAAAAGAGTCTCTTCGCTGAATATTGTATTCTTAATGCTACAATGGGAATTATTAAATTATTAAAAAATATATATAATCAACTAAAGTCAAAATGTCACTGATTAATTTGGTTCACATGTGTCAACGGAATATCACAGATGTCAATGAATAGTTTTAAAACATATGCACTGCACAAAAAAATGACTCTGGTGAACTGGTAGTCTATCTAATGAACAACGCTCTGAAGTTTGAAGAGATGAGTGTCGGATTTGGATCTAAGTAGAAACATCATCACTAGGAGAGGAGCATGTTCACTCAGCCCAAAAAATTTGAAACAGGACAAAACATTAGATGCTACCACTAAACATGATATCCAATGGGTTGTTCCCTTCACTTCTATGAAGATGTAAATTTTGAATGGTAATGTCAAGTTAGAGCTTCTTTATTCCCGAGTGACCTCACATGATTGACACCAGAAGCTGGTGTCAGCTGGCTGATAGACACTTAAGATAAGATGACTAACGGAAAGGAATAAGCAGGCAACAGGGAACTCTGCCAGAACTCTAAATACCCTCAGGCAATATCACATGCCATTCCCTGAAGGGGACTCTAAATGGGTAGAGAAAAATATGGCTGCCTAGGATGACGTGGCGAATATCACGTGTGGAGGTAATGAAGGCTTGCTTGTAGCTGTGGAGCTGGTTGAAAGTGATGGTAGGGTAGAATGCAGATATACAACTGAAAATGTATCTCCCACTTGGAACGCTAGAAACAAATAGTAATAGTAATGCTCATCTCTTACCTGACATTTGATCTTCTGCTAAATTTTCTAATCCTTGGCCATTGGAACTATTTTCAGGTTGTTTAATACACCGAAGAGTAGTCAGTAGACTAAATATCTGATAATCTACACGAACATCTAAAATATACTTGAAAATATTTAAAACCAAAAAAAGAATTTAAAAAATAACTTTTTAGAATAAGACAATGACGTAAACATAAATGAAAAATGAATATTTTGTAGAAGGTCAACTACAAGGAATATTCATGAAATTTTAAGAGACCTTATTCACTGATTCACCTAACACTGTGTACCTTAAGTCAACATCACTTACATACTGATATCAGTCACAAAGTAGATTGCAACTGTGGAACAGTTTGATCCTTATTGCATATGTTCTTTGCTAAAAATCAGTACCTATTATGAGACAGCATTCACTGGATCCTTCAACCTTAGCAGATGAAGTTGACTCCATCCTTGAGATAGCACTGGTTGAAAATGCAATTACACTTAACCAGTGAACCACAGCTTGGTTTTCTTTGAGAAATCACCAATATTTAAACCTATTAGCTTCCTACATAGGTGGTGCAGAGGTAGAATGCCCGCCAACTACATACAGTCCACGTTTGATTCCCAGACGATGCATTCCTAAACTTGATCAAGCTGACAGTAAGTTCGGTAGAGAAGGAAGGTTAGGCGTGATGCTAGCAACCTGCCCTCCACCCTAACCATCTCCATTCAAAGAAACATTACCGCTAGTGGGAATCAGAAGCTTAAAGCCTGAAACAAATGAACGGATAAACAAATTATTCCAACATGATGGAGGGAAAAAATGTATTCCATATTTCACTTCATAAAGTATCATAGAAATAATAACAAGAATAATAATAATAACATCTTCGGTATACCATTACTTGATGACTGTCTTACCTCAATAATCTCCAGACTTTTCACTTTTAAATCTAAAAGTCTGTCACTGCTGGAACTGGTCAGTAATGATGATGAAGAAGTTGTTGACTCCCTCTTTTTAACTAAAAAGAGAGAGAATATGGAAAATTAAAAGTGTGACATTATAAAGTGTAAATTACAAAATTGTTATTTGATGTTATAAACAATGAGTGAGGGATTCGAATCCCACAGTGGGAAGACCAACACTTACTCAGCATGCAGATTCATCCAGCTAACCTGTCTGTCGTAAATAGGATGAAACAAGCATCCTAGTAGATTTCAACGCAAGTCCATACTTGATTAAAGATGTATTTTTCAGCTTATTCGACAGGATGCTGATAGTGAATATTGAAATATGAGACAAATATCAGCCAAAATCATCATCATCATCATTGGAAACTAATGACTTCTAAAGGCAAACAATATTGTATTCTATCTTAGCTTATAACGTTCATATTCCTGTTTAAAATTAAAAAGACGAAGTTGTAAAGTTGACCATTTTTTGATTTTTAACCTTTTTTTCAATGATACTAGTAAGACATTGGGAACTTCTGACTTTTAGGCTTTTTGAAATGTGTTTGAAGAGATGAATAGATACGCACCTTTCTGTCCTTCCATTTTAATTACCTTAGCTGACACACAAAAATTTGTTAACACTGTTAGAAATAGCTTCAGATGCACACCTGTGCAGATTCAATTGACAAAGTTCATTTATCGTGGACTGTTTAGAGTAAATCTATAAGGCATACATGAAGCAATCTTTAAAACGTTTACACTTACAACTGGTGGAACACTTTATCAGTCAAAAGTTGACAGATAAAATTGATATAAGCATAAAACCCGGGCACTGTGGTACAATACAACTCCATTATAGATCCAATTAAACAAAATAACATAATTTACGAAATACCTTGCAATGACTGTGAGTTAAGTCAGCTACATAAGTCAAACTAGTAGATCAGGAGTAGTGAGATTATCAGAACATAAGATAAGTAATTTAGAAAAAAGCTCACCCATAGCAGTGCATGCATTAACACATAACCACACAATAGGGTGGGAGAGGGTTAAAATGCTAAGAAGTAATGTAAGTAGGTGGAGAGAGAGAGACTGATTACTGAATCCTGGTTCATTGAGGTTACACTGAACACATGCAACAGAAGTGACTCAATGCAAATACCAGAGATATGGAAGATATTATAACCACCAGTCAAATCAGAGGAGGATAATAAATAATGTTAAAATGTATTTGAATTCGCATTATAACATTCTAGCAAGTTACTTCTTTATTTTACTATAAAAGCATCTTATTTCCTATCTGATTGTATTTTATTGATAACACTAATATTATTATTGCTGAATATACATTATCTTATACTGATTTTATTCAAATGTCTAATCGCATCAGTGTTTACTGATGTATATAAATGAAGCAAGAAAATTTTGCGAGTGAGTGTCATGATATGATTATGAGTGGCAATAAGTTGTGCTGGAAACGTGGTGGCATCAGTAAATAGTACTTACTGTACAACACACTGTGGATTTTATCAAAATAAAATTTCATCTATAATGGAGTTGACAGGTATTAGTTTGAAGTCACCTCCAACTGTATTCACAAATCCACATGTACGTACCACAGTATGTACACTATAAGCACAAAAAGCTGGGCATCTGTTCGCCTCTTCACACACATTCAAAAGAATATGAGATGCAAAAATATCACCACTAGTTTATAATTAATAATTACGTTCTTCAGACATCCAACAAAGTTTAAAATGTTTACATATTTAGTTATTTTGAAAAGCACAAACAGGTTAATATAATTACACTAGTGAGAGGTATTCAAAACACCTGTAAATAAGGCATTCATACATACTAATTATCAAGTATTGATTTTGTAGGGTCTTTCTTGATTTATTTTTGTTTGATTAGTTAGAGGATTTCATCATGAGCTGAAATCAGTTAGAGAACCATTGGAAAACCAGGTGGGAGTACTGGACAGTTGTTTCACTAGTCCTAGTTTGGGACTCTTCATCAATGCGCACCCACCACAGGAGTTTCCAGCCCAGGACCTTCTGGTTACAAGGCTAGCGAGCTCGTAGAGCATTAAGCCGCTGGGACTCGATTCAATGGCCCATGAATTTAAACTTCTGACAATACATCTGACATAGCACGACCACTTCGCAGTGTCTTGTAGTATTTATTTCAGGATTTCATCATGATGTAACATCGGTTAGAGGACCATTGGAAAACCACCAGCGAAGTTCTCGCTTTATGTCATGAACTAGCAGAAGTTAAAATTCATGGGCTGGCCATTGAATCGAGTCCCAGTGGCTTAATGGTCTATGAGCTCACCTGAAGGTCCTGGATTCGAACCCCAGTTGACGCGTACTGCTGAAGAGTCCCGAACTAGTGGGGCGAAACAGATTTCTGACATACCCATTCGGCTTCCCAATGGCTCTCTAATTTATGTCAGCTCATGATGAAACCCTCCAAAGAATACTGATTAATATTTTTTATTACGAATATTTTAAAATTATGATTATTATTTTATTACTTAAAATACCGCTGAGAATTCACAGCATGATGAAGGTGAACCTGTCATTAAAACAAGATACTATTATTGTCACTGTTAATTATCCTTTTCACTTACCTTTATTCACTTCACTTTTCAAATCACTCCTAGTGCTGCTGCCACAACGATCAAGCATGAAGACAAGCTTTTGACCCAAAATCAATAATTCCTCCGTGTTATAAAGTCCAAAAAATACTAAATGTCTTGATAAATTGATAATCTTGAAGATAAAAAAATAAACGTTCATAAAAGACTTTCAGCTAACCCGTTGGTTCATTTCTTCTAATTTAAAATTGACCATAAAATGAAAAATTCTTCTTTTAGTTAAAAAAAGAGATCAAGTTGAAACCAAATTTTTCGAATACCGACTTGCAGGCATTTGATAGATTTCAATTTCAGTCACGAAAAATGAGAACACAGTTAGAGAACCGGTGAAAACCAAAGGGGAGTACTGGATAGTTGTTTCTTCCATGTTTAAGTATTTGATTCGATACCTGGTAGGTCTGTGGGTATCCGCAGTGAAGAGTCAGAAAAAAGGACGAAAGAAGTGTCCAGAATTCGCTAGTTTTCAATGACACTGTGACTGAAATCAATTCATTATCGAAATTGAAACAGAATGTCTAGGAACATGGTTCAAATTTCAGTGAAGAGTATAGAAGAACTCACACATTTTAGTTTACTAATAGTATGAGATAGTATATTTAAAGATGTATCAGAGTTAAAGTTTATCAGTAATTTATTGTCATTATTATTATTATCATTCGTGTCTTAGATTCTCATAACGAACCATCCTATAACGTGTCACTCAAAAATTATGCAGAAAGAAATACAAATGGAATGGACATACTATTAGTAGTACCGTGGTGGCGATCCAACTAGCATGATGGGCACATTTCAAACTTGACTGATAGAATTCAGTTAGCACCAAACGAGGGACTAGACACATGACACTAGTTTGATTGGTTGAAAGATTTCATCATGAGCTGACATCAGTTAGAGAACCACTGGAAAACCTGGGAGTACTGGACAGCTGTTTCGTCTTATTTTGGGACTCCTCATCAGTACGCACCCACCACCACAGTTCGAACCCAGGACCTTCTGTTTACAAGGTTAGTTCGTAGACCATTGAGCCACTGGGACCCGGTCCAATGGTTCTTGGATTCTAACTTCTTCCAATTCACGACATAGCGCGACCATTTCGCAATGTCTTCTGCGATGAGTTACTGCCTCATCTTTGACCTGCTGTACCCTACTGGTAACGGCTTCCCACTAGAACCCCAGCTTAACAGCCTGAATAGGGCCAGTCGCTAGTGAGCATCAGATTAATTTTCAAGTATTGGTTTTGTAGGGCTCATGATGAAATCCTCCAACCAATCAAACAACAACAAAAAATCCCTACAAAACCAATACTTGAAAACATGACACTAGTCACTGACTAATGTCCAGTCAACAATATCCAATACGGTTCTACAGGAGGTCAATCGCGAGATCGAATACCTTAGTGGCAAGGTCTTCAATTGCATCACAGGATGACACGGATTGGAATCTCAAGTTGGACATTAGTCCCTTTAAGATTGCAGATACGCCTTGCTGACTGGTGAGTGTCAACAAGCACGAAAGTTAGGTCGCAGGCTTCCTGCCGATTACCTCCAACTATTTAATAACAAAAGTAGATGATGTTGTATACTGATGTCTATGAGAGACACAATTAATCCAGAAAATGTTATAGTCGAAAACATTTAAAATTATAAATTATGACAAAATCACCTAGATATGATATGTAAACACTGTATTTTGTATAGAGTAAAACTTAAGAGAACAATTGCCTAATGTAATATAAGTTTAAAATATTTTGTAATTCAGGCACTATAACAACAATGGAAAGTAATTATAGGCCAGGTTAAAGAATGGCGATCCAAGAGAATGTACACACCGTTCGACGACCATTGGTGCCCACAAGTAGAATAAGTTGGCGAAAGCAGCCAAATGATACTGCGATCACGACAAATGTTTTAAATGAAGTCTAGAGATATTAAACAAAATATTTGGCTAGTTTTAGGCTTGAGGAAAGTGACGGTCAGGATTAGGTTAACCTAATTAGGGAGAGATATTGGGGTTGATTAGGGATAGATTAGGGTTAGAATTAGGCTAGAGGAAGACTAGAGTTAAAGCTGATTTAGGGATACATATTTTGCTTTTTATTGCAGTTGATCGTCTCAAGACTGTTGGTGCGTTCGTTCAGCTTGGATAGCTACTCTTTAACCTTGCCATGTTATGTTTAACTGAGAATCAGGAATTACAATTATCTGATTTTCTAGTATGGTTAAATAAACTCATTTGGGTATAACAAAGAGTTCTTCATAGAAGCGAAACTTCTGAAGAACTTCTGAGGGTTTATACTTGTTATTTTCATGAAAAAGTACTCATCTCTAAGTTATTCCTTTAGAGAATCTGGTTCATAAGTATCTTCAAATTTTTCAAACTTAATTAATTGAACCATATGCTCTAACATTGATCAAATATGATCCTTCTATGTAGATTTCGTCAAGGACCAATATCAGTTAGGGGATGAATGAAAACCATGTGGCGCTCTACATCTGTTTCATTCTAGTTTAGGACTCTTCACTTGCACCCACCTACGACCCCATCAGAAACTGAACCTTGAAACTCGGGGTTACGGAGACAGCTCGTGTACTATTTAGCCACCTAACTAGAAATTCAGTACCCCCTGTTAGTTCTTTGATATGACACTACCGACAACAAATGTCATCGATCGGTATCCACTTCCCTTGACAAGATGGATCCAAATGGTCACTATTTCTCACCACAGATTTAGAAATTAATATCCAATAGACTCCATTTATCTATCAGTTTTTATTCAGGTTATTGGTTTCTCTAGGGGTCTGAATCTATTTTAACACTTAACGAGCTGGCCCTGTAAACCGAAAGTCCATGATTTCATCCTAGGTGGGGTGGTGGGTAAGCGCTGTTGAGGAGTCTTATACTGGGATGAAACAGTCGTCCAGTACTGTTTATTTTCCAATGACTCTATAAATGATGGTGATCCATGGCAAAATCTATACTGAAGTATTATATTTAGTTACTGTATAGACATCAGATTGCAGTCAAGCTGAAAGTCTAAGGATACTTGAACTAGACTTCCTAATTAACACTGCTGCTGCTGCTGGATTCAACATAGAACTTGGCACCGAGGTGCAGCAGTTCGAGTTGCCACGTTCCAAAGAGCACACAAAGGTAGACAGGAAAATGAGAGAGGAGAATCAATAGAAATTTAGATAAGTATAAGAGTGGAACAGAATGAGTAATGGTAGAAAGGAATATGAAAGGGTAAAGAGACTGAATACATCTGCGCCACTGACAACGATTTTGAGCCATGTCACCTATTGTCTCCAGCCATTGATTCTTAGAGTCCCGAAGGCCCCACTACTTGTAGTAATATAATTAAATAAAGATTGCCAAGGTAGGTTAAGAGTGATAATATATTCTTCTTATACATATAGGGGTGAGGCTTAATTTGATGAGTAAGCATAGCCACAGCTTACTTCCATATGTGCTCCTGATGGTTTTTTATAGATAATCTTGAAAGGTGTTTTGAAAGCAGCCTTGTTATTCATTCTACAGCTCAGTTATTATTCATGCCGTTTGAGTATATGTTCTCCCACCCTCACGTGTAAGGTACCACTACTTCTTTCCGTGTATATGTGACCACAAACACATGCATTTAAACTGGTATACAATATTGGATGTGATCTAATTACTTGCTCACTGCTGAGGCTTTTAATTAAACCGCCTACCTTGGTATTCCTCATCTAATTACATTGTTGTGAAAGCTGTCTGCAAGCCAAAATTATAGACAACAATTTACGTCAGTATTTACGTGCCGAATCGGGCTCATCAGAAAAAAACAATAACAAAGCTTAACCTTGAGGAAATCACCAGCCAATCACAGCAAACTTAACGTATGCGAATACGATTCGTAGATACATGGCTTAACTTTCTAAGAAACGGTCACAAGCAGTACAGAATAACCTTGAGCAAGAGAACAACCAATCAGAATATGTTGCTTCGCTGCTAATAACAACAGTAATAATAATACACATAAAAAGCCGTAAATACCTCTTGACTTTCTCAATAAACGATCTGTTGCCTGGCCCTTGTCTTCTGTCGTTACGACATTACCAAATGTAGTGTTATTTATTATTATTATTTTTTATTCCTTTACGTTCCCAGTGGAACGTAGGGCTTTAAGTTAGAGGACTGAAGTTTCAGAAGCAAGGGTGTTTCTTTCACGGGATGGGGTTGCTAGCCTTACGCCCAACTTCCCTTTTTCGCTGTTCTTATTATGGGGCTTACAGAGGTAAAAGAGTGCGTCGGCTGGGGATGGAACCCCAGACCACATGCGTGGTTGGCGAACATTTTACCGCTTAGCTTATTAGTCTTATTCTGAAATCCCTTATCACTTTATTTATTTTAACTGGTCTTTTATTTTTCATATTATTGAATGTGATGGGTAAGTGTGTGATGGTAAGATTGTTCTAAGTGTACTGCACGAATACATCACAGTATTTTTCGGATAAACATCGTCTTCTAGTATGACGCTGGCTAAACAAGGTTTTTTCTGTATTAATTTTCTCGATAAATACGCCTCTGAAGTCTTTTATGATGAGAAGGAAACGACAGAAAATATGTGCATATCCCAACACTTGTATGCACTATTCTGTCAGGATAAATACTCACCTCATACGTCAGAGTAATATAACTCGGGTCGGTGAGATAACGACCATAAACCAATATATCATCTAAGTATTCATTGATAAAATTCATAACAGGTATAAAATCATGTTTAATACTTTCTTGTTTTACTGTATGATTGCTTGCTGCTTCATAACTACAAAAAAGAAAAGAAAAGCAAAAATTTATCATAAACTATTATCCTCTATGCATATATTTATTTATTTTTATTTTATTTTTCATTACAGCTTGATTCCACACTGTATTTTTGGTACAGGTATGGAATTTTCAGCCCAAATTTTGCAGGCCGACCATTGATATCGGGTGTGCGTCGGTAGGGGATCGAACCTCAGACCATGTGCATTGTCAGCGAGAGTCCTAACCACTGTGTCAACTAACTGCCATTTTAAACGCTTAGCCAGTACAGTGAAAAAGGGCATTTAATGCAGCAGAAGTTCATTTGGTAATAAACGATAAGCGTCAGTGGCACAGCGGTTAGCACCCTCACCGACCATGCAAATGGTCCGGGGTTTGATCCCCTTGATATCAGTGGTCAGCCTGCAAAATTTGGGCTACCGATGCCACATGCTGAAAATTCCATACTTTTACCAAAAATACGGTGTGAAAGCAAGCTATAATTGAAATGATAAAAAAATGATTTCGCCCCCTCTATGTGTATATACCAGCTTGATGGCTCTTGTGGAGCTAGTCACACTGGGCATACAGTTAGGGCTGCTCATCATTGAATTTCGCAATATCATCTAGCATGTTTCAAGCCCTGTTTTAGCTCATCCTGTAGATATCGAAAGTAAATCTGGTATTAACTAGGCACTTGAAGTTACCTACTGCATTCCAACTAATCTTAATTTTTCCTTACGCGTTCGCCTTCCACACACTGTTGAGGCCATCGGAATCCACCTGAAGAAGCCTAACTTATATGTTCAGAAGAAATTCGTGCAAATTCTATCCTTACCTTGACCTTCAATACTTGATTCCCTCTAAGTCTTGTGTAAGCTATCATAGCATAAATTTTATTCTCGATTTTATCTGATATTCAATTCATTCACATAAGAGACAGATAGTTGTACAATCAATTAATAATCCGCTCCTGTCATTCTTCTAATTGAGCATGATTCGAATTGACAGGAGAAGACCTGAATAGGTAGGCTGTGTGATGAAGGTAAGTGGACAGTAATGCACCAATCATGCACTTCGCATCTGAACATTACCTATGATGATTATTGCAGTGAAATGATGACCACCTGGTTACGAGTTGAGTGTTGGAGGTCAAGTAGTTGACTGCCAGAATGCAGAGATTCAGAGACCGCTTTTTCTAGTTCTGTCGCAACACAAATTTTCATTTCACTATCAGCAATCACCCAAAACAGCAGCAGAGGTCTTTGAATCCAAGACTACCTGAGATAGTCTCAGTGACCGATAGACAGTATTCTGCTTAGAGTGATCAATGACGCATACATTTGCATTATAAACTGCGAAACTTTTAGAGGTAAACTGTCTGGCTGACAGTAATGTTCAGTTAATATTGAGATGTCATGGAAGCTCTGTTTACGACAACTTTTTATTTCCCATCGATTGATCATACTGAATCAACACGATCGATACCTGATGACATATCAGTTGGTAGTACGGACGCTTCCACGATTCCTGAGAACTAAAATGTTGTTATTCGATGGATGGTGATCACCGGTGGATAACACCGTGGACTTTTGAAACGATGGAGGCTTCATACGAGTTTCATCAACAATAGTACCATAACTAACTGGCAGTTGCAGGTGCACCCAAATAACGAGTCTTAAATATGGCGAAATGCGCATTATAGATCCCACTGTTAGTCACCATCCGTCATAATAGCTTTATTAACCATGTTAATATTATCTTGATGAAGAGTAAAGTTTAAGCAAAACAAAAATCTATCTTACGCGAAAATATCCGACTTTGTACCCAATGAACTCCATAAACGTGCATACTGAATTGGTTGATTCAATTCTTGAGGATCTCTGTCTACATGAAGATTAAGTAGCAAACGTGTAAAAGAAGCTCGAAGATCTGGTCTCAGCCGTTCGTTTCGTATACATCTGAAGAAGAGGAAGAAGAATGATAAAACGGAAAGAAATATTTAGTAAGCAACTGCACGAAAATGAATCTATGCGCATGAACAATGGACCATGGCTTTAGATATAGGATATTGAGGTTCCCATTAGAAAAAAGGGAAGTAAGACGAAATCTTCTGTTGACACAACTTTTAAACTTTATCAAAAATATCTATCTAATGAACATTTTAGACAAGACAGAATCCATAGCATTGCTTTGTTCAACTTTTAAAGAAGTAAATAACACGCCTACAATTAGAAAACAGAAAGATTGAGAGAAGAGATATTTACTTTTCAATTAGATCCTCATCTCTGGCTCTACTCTAATATATATCCATAGCATTTTTCTTACAATACACAACAGTTTATCAAACAAGTGGTGATATGTTTGTTAACAATGATTAGTCAGTGTCAAAATGTCAATGGGTTGATAATAGACGAAGGAAATCAATACACATTTAAAAGGTTGAAATGGTTAAAATAAATTAATTTTACAAGGATAACACGTAATTAAAGATGAAGTGGTCAGGAAAAATAATTTAGACAGTTATAATTTTTATAATTTTAAAGGTTTAGGGGCAAGGGGGCGAAGTAGTCCTGTTTATGCATTCTTGTGACGATGGCCACGGTAAGGAAAGTGGGTGTAAAAACTTCTACTGAACACACAGGCTTGGCTTCTTCAGGTGGATTCCGATTGCTTCAGCTGTCTGTAGAAGACGGACTCGTAGAGCAAAATTAAGATTAGTAGGAATGCGATAAACAATTTTAAATACAGTATTAACGTCAACCTTATGCTCAGTATCAACAAGATGTGCTAAAATAGAACTAGGAATAGATCTTGTTTGTCCCTTGCTTAACCATGTTGGATGATGTTCGGAAATACGACGATGAACTTGCCTAATTGTACGCCCAATGTAGCTGGCCCGGCAGCTGCAGTCAAACTGGTAGATACACATATACACATTAATGCGATTTACACATACTCAGAAGGATGACTTTACTATCATTTCACAAGGGCTCCAAGTGGAACACATCTTTATTTCATTCACTTCTCTGCAGTGATCTTTACCTGGCTCCACAACTATCGATAAGCACTCATTTCCTCCTCACACTGTCTCCCTCACGTCATCCTCAGACCCACAATCAAGTTGTCGATTACTATTCGGTTTCCACTCGACGGCCCAAAATGCATGAGATATCAGTCGATGGCCTCCTTGGCGTATGTCTGATCTGTCTCTATTTTCTTACACAGATTTGGTTGATTCGTCGCTTATCCTTTCTAGCCAACTGGCCGTCTGATCTTCAGTATCGAGTGAAAGCAGCTGTTGATGAAAATCTATTGCAGGCTTTTGTAGATGATCTTCATGAGGCGCATGCCAAGTCTGTGAACCATATAGAAGAGGTGATTAACTCGCCATCAGTGCTGAAGGTTCTAATCTTGTTCCTCATGCTGAGCACAGCAGATTTTCACGCTGACTTCAGAGTAATTAAGATGTGTTTTGCTTTTTCTAGCCAAGTCGGCTTTGACAACCACCTCTGTGCCTCCTGCGTACAAAACGATGTTGCCTAGATAAGTGAAAAAAGTGACCACTTTTGGATAACTTCACTTGGTGTTTATTTCTGATGCTTGCTAATGTTATTTAGGCCATCCACATCTCCTCTGTCTTCTCTAATGCTCACTTGAAGTGATATGTCTTCGGTGCCTCTTCTATCAACTTGTTGGCTTTCACCTATAGATCTGAGTGTGTGTATGTGTGGCACCAGAAATAAACCTCCTGTAAAGTCCAGATCCTCTAGAGTCTTCTTCTCAGCCTAACATAAACCTATCTTCTCGCTCCCCATGGCCAAATTTATTCCTACATTATGGTTTCGATAGAGGCAATTAACTCTGGTTAAAGAAATAGATTACTTGTGTTACAGTGTCACGAAAATTCATTTGAAAAAAATGAAATCCAGACAAGAATTAAACGAATAAAATTATTTCTTATAGATTTTCATGTTTAGTTTGATTTTCAGCCTAATTCTCTATCATACCAATTTTAAAAAATAGTTATTTTTATCTCTAATTTTATATGTAAAGTAAGTTACATTTCCAGACAACATGACTAATTTTATTTTTCGTAATTTTATTTCAATTTTTCTGATGAGATGAATATTCTTCAAAATAATTAATAATACGCAGAATGAGACATCGAACTATAAGTGTCTTGCAATTATTAGTTTGTAGGGATTTGATTGATTGGTTACAGGATTTTATTATGAGCTGATATTGGTTAGATGACCGTTGGAAAACCAGCTGGGAGTACTGGAAAGTTGTTTCGTCCTGGTTTAGGATCCCTTGGCAGTACTCACACACCGTTTGGGGGTCGAACCCAGGACCTTCTGGTTACAAGCCTAGATCGTTATTATTATTATTTTTTCCTTTAATTCCTAGAGGAACATAGAGCTTCAGCTGCACGTCCCTATTGCGTGCGGTTCTCTGCTAACGTTTTCACCTGGCTCCATGTCTGCTCACATGCTTTTATCTCCACTTCACATGACCTCCTCCAAGTCACCCTTGCACTGACGACCAACTCGCCGCTTCCCTTTCGGGTTCCACTCGAGAGCTTGTCTAGTGATGTCACTTGATGGTTTCCTCAGAGTGTAGTCAATCCACCTCCATTTCTTCCTGCTTATTTGTTTCACAATCGGTTCCTGCTGGGTTGGTTTGCTCCCAGAGATCCCTATTGCTGATCTTTTCTGGTCATCTGATCTGGAGCGAAGACAGCTGTTGATGAAGGTGTGTAGTTTGTTTGAGGTGCTCTTCGTGACGTGCCAAGTCTCTGATCCGTATAGTAGTACTCACTTCACATTGGAGTTGAAAATCAGGACCTTATTTTTGATGCTGAGTGCTGTTGACCTCCACACACCTAGCTCGTAGGTGTCTTTTATTAGCATGTTACTGTAGAATTAAGAAAAGGCTTTGAGATTTTCTGAAGAAAAAGAAACATGTACGATATTTGTAATTTCAAGTGTTGGTTTGTAGCGATTAGATTTATTTCAAGATTGATCAGACATTGATTTCAGTTAGGAAAACACTGAAAACCAGCGGGGAGTACTGGAAAGCTGTTCCTTCCTTGTTGAAATCTCTTGAGTACTACGCACCTATGACTTCACTGCGGATCCAAACCATGATCTTCAGGTTATAAGGCGGGCTAGTTAACCATTCAGCCACCTGGACAGAAACCAATCGCCCATCGATTCCAATTTCTATCAATTCGAGATTTTTAACACGACTATTAGCCAATACCACCAACGAGTATTTGTATTATTTATATTTGTGATTTCCTACTGATAAGTATGATCAAATTTATTAGCCTCATTTCGGTACATGGGTTTCTTTGATGTACGCTCCGATATTCACAAGAATAATCACTCAAAGTTAGGTGTTTTGACCAACTTGGCACAAGACACACATCCTCAATTCTATTATTATTCCCTTGGGTTCCGAGTGGAAAATAGAGCTGCAACAAAATGTCTTGACTTTCTTCTATTTTCTACCGTCCCATTCATCTGGGTCCACGATTCCCTATAATTTCTCATCTCTTCCTCATCACACCATCTCCTATATGTAACTCTCACACCGACGATCCACTCTTCGCTTCGATCTATGGCCTGCACTGCGTGGGATTTCATTAGACGGCCAACTCAAAATATGCCCAATCCATCTCCATTTTCTCCTACATATTTGTTGAGAAATGGGCTCTTGGTTGGTTTGTTGCCAACCAGAGTTTCTTGCCGCTAATTCCTTCTAGCTGGCTGGCCGTTAGATCTTCAGCATAGAGGAAGCGAATGCAGCTGTTGATAAAAGTCTGCAACCTACTGAGAATCCTTTTCGTGTTACGCAGTGCAAGTTTCTGACCCGTATAGAAGAGGTGACTGACTTCACATCTGTGCTGAAACTCTGAATCTTATTTTTTATGCTATGGGGTGCAGAAGATTTCCAAACTGGTTTCATGTTGATGAACACGTATCTTGCTTGCCTGATTCTAGCAGGCATTGACATCTTCATCCGTCCGAGGTGCCTGTGGTGGAAACTGTGCTTCCCAGATAAGTGAAAGAGGCAACCTCTGTGAAATCTCTACCGCTGAAGGCGACTGGTGCTGGATTTTGTTGCTGTTTATCGGCTATCTTCGTCACCCCCGTCTTATCTGTGTTCCCTTGCAGTGACGTCTTCGCTTCCAACCTCTTCAGCCAGTTTGTTGCTTTTTGCCTGCAATTCTTCGAGTTTGTGTCGCATTAAACACAAATGATCCATACTTGAAATCCAAATCTTCTAGAGTCTTCTTATCGTTCCAACGTTTTTCTGTCTCCCCACTCTTGTGGCACAATCTGACCCATAATCCAGTTAACTATAATTAAGGATGACATCGGTGACAATATGCAGGCAGCTTTGTATTACTCCTGTATTCACTTCGAACGCCCCGCTGAGTTTTCCGTTGTGGATCACCTGACACTTGGCATTGAGTGACGCTGATAAATATTTTGGGCGCTGCACATCATAGTATTGAAGCAATTTCAAAATTACTTCTCGGTCAACGCTGTCTGTCGAAGGCCTTTTCGAAGTCATTGACGTTGATGTCAAAATAGTCTAAACACTGGACTAACATTTCGATCGTTTTTTGCCAAGCCAATGAGCGCTTTACTCGGCTCGACTCAGCTGCAACAGCCGAATCACTTCTAACTATCCAATTTCTGGCTAGCTCTATGCATGAACTGGTTGGTAATACATTCAATCGATTTCATAACTTGCAAATTAATCCATGAATTGTAATTTACACAGTTCGAATTGCAACTTCACCATAGATCACTTTGATCTGACTGGCTAGCAAGCACTACCAGCTGATGTCAGTTCTATTTAACTACTTATATCAGTCAGATAGTAGTATATGACTTCATACTTCTATAAATAAATATATATATATATATTAGCCATGACACCAAAACAGCTAAATACCGAAATCAAACAAACACTTACTTCAAAAGTAAATCAATAGGCAGCTTTGACATGAGATAATGAATAGCGATATATTGTCTCTCTTGACATAAAAGTGCAAACAAATCAATTTGAGCTTGATAATAATTCATGATTAAAGAGCAGATTGAAGTATATTTCGCCTGTTTATGATCCATTCCCCCAGATTTCGACTGATGAATTATATCACTAAGAATGTTCAGATTTAATTCCACATGGTTGACTTGATGTCTTACTGACTGATTAATAATTAAGTAGGCGTTGCTGCAACTTCTCCAGAAATATTCATCTAGAATATCTGTTTGTTTCCAAGTCAAGATGACAGCTAGTTCTGATTGTTGTTCTGAGTTGATAATTCTTTTTTCACTAAATGAAAAATAAAGAAAACAACAGAAGGAACAAAAAAGCATACATATGGTTCCCTTGATATATTTCGATAGAGAAAAAGAAAGACCAGATTTGCAGCATAAAATCATATCATCATTCCAGTTCACAGGTTCTCATCAATCAGCTGCAAACTACCTGAAATTACAATGGTTATAAATTTCATACTTCAATATCTGAAAGTTAATATAGAAAGCGCTATAAGATGAATGCATCCAGAATATAGGCATTACATGTAGCCTTAGTATAAGTCACCATCAATTTATATGCTATCAAACTATGGAAAAAAGGGCTTCTATCCGGTTTTCAGAGCATATTCCAAGAAACTTATGCTTAAAAGGAAGCAGATATTTACAAAGTGCAATTACCAGACAGACACCTTGTGGATACAGGTCATTTCGTTGAGATTTCCAAATCCTTTAAAATACTAAACATACAAAGGACAGAGTATTTACTACGATTTGCTGAAGCAATTGCAATCAAACGTTTCAGACTGAACTTATGCACACAGAAAGAGAGTGTAGTCAATCTCTCACTCCCTTGGTAACCGTATTACTTTTTTAGGAGCTGAAGGCATCGACGTTCGCGAAATGTACGGATTATACTAACGCAAGATCTTATATCAACAACTTCTATAGTGTACCAAAGGCAAAGCAAAAGACCAGATTTAGTCGTCCGAAATACGTAATATATTTTGGGACCAAATCGCGGGTTGAAGTGGATGCTTAGCTAGCTAGTAATCGTGCACGCACGTGACACGACGGAGTACCAAATGGCGGGGATGCTTGACCGGAAGCCTTCATCTAAACAAGTCGACTTAAACAGTGAGGGTCAGCATCCAGTGTTGAGTGATGATTGCTGTGGTCAATAATTTTGGGGAATTATTTACCGCTACACTTTCTTTACACTGATTCTTCAGACACATTAGTGAGCTCAGTTCGCTAAGGAAGTTTTCAATTTGATGAACTTCAACATTCTTGGGTTGACGTACATGTTGAGGTACAAGCTAACACTGTTTATCAGATTTTCCTGTTTTCTGTCTCCTCTCACCCCACCGTTTTTTTTTGATAGTTTGATGGCATATAAATTGATGGTAACTTAAACTAAAAATTGTAGCACTTCGATTCTTGATGCGTTAATCTTAAAATGTTTCCTCTATTACCTTTCAAACATTGAAGTATGAAATGTCATTATTTATAACCATCGTAATTTCAGGTAGTTTTCAGCTGATCGGGGAGAACCTGTGAACTAGAATGCTGATATCATTTCATACTGCAAATCTGGTCTTTCTTTCTCTATCGAACAAAGTATATCTTCGGACGAAGTGAAACAAACTTTTATTGGTGAAGTAAAAAGGAATCCACTTGTCAATGCTAATGAACATTGAATTGTTTGTTTATTCGAACTGGTCTCCATTTGGTGGGAGATAAGAAAGCCGTCATTGCTTCATCATATACTGGTTGGCAAAAGATTGGAGAAATACTATCAGAAATATTATTGTACTTTATATTAACCTTTATTTACAAACTTTCCACTTGGTAATAATCGTAACTGTGTTTCCTTATCGGTTGAAGAGTAGACAATCGTACTGCCCAACCGTTTTCTGTTATTCCGCATCGGTTACAGTGCATAGTATTCTGTGTATTAGGATTAGTCTTCTGAAACCGGCGATACATTCAGGATCTTTACGATCTGGATAGTTGAAGCTGATAACTGTTTTAAAAATTAGATATTCAGTGGCACAATGCAACTGCTCGCTACTTTCAATAGATTCATCTAAGTCATGTGGTTATGTATTATTGTTTCACCTCAATAATTATGGTTTAAGCTAATCCTGATTTCTAACTCTAATTGACGTACAACACTTCACGGATGATTTGTGTCTAATATCATATAAACTAGAAGATCTATAGGCGAAAACCAACAATTTGGCAGAAGAGACAGTAAAGAAAAGCCTTCAAGGGAACACAGAGATGAGAAATCTGATGAAAATACCTGACAACCAATAACAACAGGCATCAGTCACCACCGAATGGATAAATCTAAAAAAAGACACCCGTTTCAATTATCTAAGCAGTCGGCACGGATGACGATGTCGAAGTTGGTGAGGATTAGAAAATAAGACAGACCTTCATTACTCACAAATCAGTGTACTGCACTCAGTATAATGAACAAGATTTGGATTTCCAACACTAATGTTAAGTTGTTCAGTGATTCTATGTCAGTCTGATAGTTAAAGCTCATGTCACGAAAAACAATTCCAACAGGTTACTGCAAATTTTTGTAAACAGTTACCGTTGCTCCATACTGAAGATAAGATGGCCAGCCAGGAAAGTTATGTCTCAAGGTACTCTGTTAACCAACCAACTAACACCCCACAATCATGCCGAAGGAAGTGCAGATTGACTGAATACACACTAAACAAACCACTGAGTGGCATCACATGCAAGCTAAGTAGAATCCAAATGGAAATAGATGAATTGGATGTGCGTCGGAGTGTGACATGGAGGGGAGATCATGTGGAAAGCCATTGACAGGTTCGGGGCAATCATGAAGCCAGCTCGAAACAACAAGGAAGACAGACCAATGAAGGTGTGCCGCTGAAGCTCTGTATTCCATGCAAAATCCCAGGGATGGGCCCATAATAATAGAAATCACACTCACTAATTAAGTGAAAATAGAATTATTTATACCGATGACTTTTGCCGATTTTAAAGGCCTATTAAGTTCGAGTTTTTGTGACACTACTAATTGATGGGAGTGGTATACAAATGTCAGTCAAATAGTAGTAAAACGCATCACGTTATTATGCTTCCTATCTTGATCGCCATTTATGATGTCGAGTAAATCGAATATACTGTGATTAGAGTAATTTTGCTCTCAAAAAAAAAAAACTGTAGCGACTTTTCACCTCGAACTGTGATAACTGAGAATGTCTAGTTTGACTGAATTTATAACTAATTCACCCAGATGGCTAGCCAGGATTGAGGTGTTCTGAAGTGATTTGACCCTTGGAGCTGAAGAGCCCAGTCCTAAACGAGAGAAACAGTCGTCCGATGTTTTTGGACCACTTGCATCTGCCTGGCAACTACAACTAGTTTTGCGTGAGCGTTTTAACTACTTATATTAATCAATCAGTAGTATGCAGCATCCATCAGAAAAACTCCCTACATAAAAGTCTTCAAGCTTTCATGCCAGCAGTGGCCTGTTGGAAGGACTTTCAGCGACTCGTGCGTCAAGTTTCTGAACTATATGCAATCACTGACTGGCGAAATTATCCGCTTTTCATTGTTCATTCTCAAACTTTGTCAGTGATATTCTTTTTAAAACAGACTGTCCTCCGAAATGATCAAGTATATGCCCGCATCTATCTAACCATTTATCTGCAAGTACTCCATGACAGTCATTAATACGAACAGTTTTAGTTGGATGAAGAGGAGCTTTGGAACGATCAGTACAATCAACAGTCTGTTTTTTATTCCTTGAGTTTCCAATGGAACATAGAACCTCAAGCGTTTCAAAATCTTAGTAACGCTGGTGTTTTGTTTTTATGATGTACACTACTGAGCCCAATATTCTCACATTTACGGGTTTACTGATGCCTATGCTAGGTTTGGTACTAGGTCGTCTGGGGATCGAAAACAGACCTCTAGACACATGGATGGCAAGAATTCTAGCAATGAGCCACCAATGTACATCATTAATACATGTAATATCAATATTAAGTGCATGAAAAACAAAGACCTAAGTAAAAATGTGGCTCATTTGGTTGAGCACTCAACTTTCAGCTACTGAACCTTCATTCCTAATCACACCTCCCCCTACTTCGGTATATGCTACTGGATAGAATCATTTGGACTGATACTGCAAGTCTGGTTCATAGCTTGGCACATGAATAATTCCTTTCATGTAACTAAGTTCTAAGGAGACGGTTGAGTGATGTCACGCGCATGGTAGACTCTCGGGTGCAAACCGAATGGGCATCTGAGTGTGACAGGGAGGAGATCGTGTGAAAAGAAAATAAGCGCTTACGGTCAATCATGAAGCCAACTTAAAGGGACTACCGAAAATCGGATGAAATGGAGATGCACTGTCGAAGCCCTGTTTTCCCCCCTGGAACCCAAGGGAATAATGACAGTGATTTAGTTAGAACATAACTTTTTACGTTAAGCAGGACGTTACGTCACTTATTTGTTATCACACACCCATGGAAATCCGTCCTCTCACATAATCGCTTGATCTACCCAAAAGGAAACGATCTTGGAGAACAATACAAACACAATGAACACTTTTGAAATAACTTGGTTCGACAATCACCAAAAATTACTTTACCGCTCACATTTTAAATAACTTACCATGTTTCCACTAAGAGATCTTCATTCTCCTTAGATAATAACTGATGACAGATAAGTTCTTGAGTAATCGGAATTGCAACACCAGAAGAAGTACATAACGCTGACAAGTAGTTTAAGAAACTAAAACAAAAAAGTGTAAACGGATCAACACCAAACAGGTCATTATCAAAACTGTGAGTAATTACTGCATAAATCAGCCATAAAAAGTTGACTTTATTGGTTTTCTGTTCAAGAGCATCTTGTTTAAACAAACTCATATAATCTTGCCTTGTTGTCTATGATGTAACTGCGTCTGTGGCACAGCGGTAAAATACTCAACAACCACGCACGTGGTCCGGGACTCGAACCCCTCCGAACTCACTCCCCTACCTCTCTAAACCAGTAATAAGACTGGTAAAGAGGGAAGGTTGGGCATGAGGCTAGCAACTTTTTATCCCGTAGAAATGAATATCACTGCTACCGAAACTTCAAGCCTCTAGCTAAAAGCCCTACTTTCCACTGGGAACGTAAAGGAATGAAAAAACGGTATAACTAAGACAGATCAAGTTCATTTAAACAATACACAGTTGTTTAATTATTTTGTCGCCCGGTCATTAAAAATTAAATATCAGATTGACCCAAGTGGCCTGCTGGATAATGCCTTGGAAGTTGAAAATGATGGGCACTGGGTTCGAGTCCCAGTGAGAATAGCATCACTCACTGGGGACTGAACAAACATCCAGAGGATGAGTCACGAATGGGACGAAATACACATCCTGGATTTGATAGCTAGTCACCATCCACCAACTAATATCATACTGATCCTCAGACGTCGTTAAAGCATCCTTACCAGGCACAAACGTGTCAAAAGAGACCGATTCTTCCGGTCTAGTCAATCAATGGGGGGAACAAAATCGACAAAATATTAATATCATGTTATTTAGTGAAATTTGATCAGCTAAAGTATAACAAATAACCATATGAAAATAGATTCACTCTGATCAAAGATCCCTAATGGAAACTCTACCAGGAGTTCTGTTAATATCATATTCAAAATGACGCATAGATTGGCTAAAATGATTACAAAAAGTGAAAATCGAAGGTCCTTACTTCTGTTGCATTCAGCTTCTTGTATGATTAATAATAATGGTTACGAAGAGGTAGAAGTGGAGCGATAAGGAGCGCGACTACTGAACATAACATCTGGTCAATAATGATCACCCAGTGATCCATACAGCCTCCGCCTTTGAAGTTATCTACAAGGCGAAGAGTAATTTGCCCAAATCACTACGTATCCGACTCATCTGTATTGCTAAAGCCATCTTTGTCCATCGAAATAGAAAAGCCAGATCTCTGTATACAGAATAAGTTTGTTCAACGCCTCCCCTCCAACTTTCATGGTCTTAATCCATCTATGCTAAAGTATGGTAATCCCTAATCATATTCTGGCTCTACCAATTTAATTCCCATTTTTATCTATTCAGTTTGTATACTCTTCCTTCATCACGTCAATTGATACTATTACTATTCTCACTTTGAACTGTCCCCGGTATTATTTCACTTGTTCCACTTGTCATTCTAAATCAGTTTTGTTTCGCTATGTCAAATTCTGTTATCAAATCTCACACAGTATTACGTAACATCTTTATTTTATTGTATTCGCCCACTAATCCTATAATTGCACACCCCTTCTAACTTCTGTACATCTTATGAATTATTCTATATATGTGACATTAATTGTTTTGCCACTTGAAATTTAACTATGTTTATAATCACAAATGTTTTAGTTGCATTTCATACTACTATCATTATTTCATGCATTCACACCTATGATTCAATTCCATCGCCGGCTATATACAATTGTACAGCTTGGTAATAAATTCGTTGAAAATAGTCTCTTAACTGAATCACTTGTTTTTATTTTCACTAAATGATGGCTTATGACTACCATTTGTTCTGGGTATGGGTGTCCAGACAACATTTCACACTCCTTTCAGGATAAAATAACTCTAGTGTTGTGACGCAGCATACAGACTTAACAATCCCCGTGTATTTTGGTTAGTGATGACTTGCAGTGGAACCCAAGATATACATTTCGTCCAATTTGGAACTCATCAAGTATACGTACCCGTGACTGATGGTGTTCCCGTGCACCCATAGTTTCAAATACCTAAGCCACTACCTACTAGGGTCCTGAGAGCTACCTCTTGGGCAACGGCTGTCGGTTATTATTTCTCCGATGTATCAACAGAGACTGAATATATAATCAATCAACAAGAAGTGCAAATTTAACCGAAAACAAATCCTAGGTACTTTCTATATATATATATATATCAGTTGGGGTTATTGCCCCCTGATAAGCTGAATATCAGTGACTTCATGAAACATAAACCAGTAAGTAGAAACTTCCCATACTGAATCATCAAAAGAGAAATACATAACTGTGGGGAAGCTTTCTTTCATTGGATGGAGGATTTCATCATGAGCCGACATCAGTTGGAGAACCACTGGAAAACCTGGGAGTACTGGACAGCTGTTTCGTCCTAGTTTGGGACCCTTCATCAGTACACACTCACCAGGATTCAAGCCTAGGACCTTCTATCCTCCATTCTTATTTTGGCATACAAATCAATCAGACTTACCGTGCTTCACAATTATCTCTAACTAATGAAATAAACGTGGCAACTTCTTGTTCACCAACATGTTTTTCAAGTAATTTTCTATTGTTATGCAACAAGGCTGTAATTGTTTCTGATGCTCTCATCCCCAAACCAATATGAGATTGCATTAAATTTAAATACTGAGCTAAATACTCCTGCAAACAAAAGACAATAATATAAAAAACCAATTAGTATTCGCTGTTACTATAAATTGAATATGAACCAAGCAAAAACCAAATGTTTATGCAGAATAATATGACGCCATTACCATTCATTCCGTCGAATTCTCTTCAGCTGCTTACAACCTAATAGTTGATGATCAACAAACACGCAAGTTGATAAACACTGTCCGGAAGTTCCACTTTTATATAACTTACGAAGGAGGTCAAAATACATACAAGCAGTATTAATGGTCGGATACATTGAAAACTGAGTTGCATAGTCAAGACAACAAGAGGAGAGAAGTTGATGATGCGTAATCGTGTGGTGAGTTTAACACAAGTCATAGAAACAAAAAAACTGAATTACATTAAGGCAAAAGTGATGGTAGGGTGTGGAAGCAAAATTAATATATGTGTAAAACTTGTGCACTGTGGTACTAAGTAATTCCATATTAGTTCCAAATCTAAGACAGGAAGTGATACACATAAAAGAAGCCTTGAAACTTAATAATTACCCTGATAAATTAGTCAGGAAATATGTAAGTAAACGCAAAAATAAAATAAATAATGATAACAGTGATAGTAATATTAAAAATAATAATAACAGTAATATTAATGACGACATGCATGTCAAACATGTGCAAGATAACACCAACAATAAGGAATCTAAATAATCAGTAGTAATTCCATACAAGGAAGGAACCTCGGAAACCTTACGCAGAATTCCTAACAAGGCAGGAATAAAAATGGCTGGCATTCAAACCCACAAACTAAATTAGAAACGAGGCTTGTCAGTTAAAGGATTTATCTTTATCTAATAATAATAATTGTCAGGTCAAATACGTAGGTCAAAGTAGTAGAACATGGGCAGTCAGACTAGACGAGCATAAAATCAAGAAAAATCTAGATCAGTTGAGCCGAATCATATAAGAAATCTAGAGAATAGTTCAGCTGTAGCACTCAGTACATGCAATCACACACAACCATACAACAGGGTGATGGGATAAGATGACAGTTTTAAAATCTAATGTAACAGGGTGGAGGGAGAGATTGATAACAGAAGCTTTGTTTATCGAATCAACTGCAAATACATGTAATAGGAATGATTCAACACCTGTCCAGGCGGATATGTGGAAAGTTGTACTACCCCTACGACAAAAAGGAGAAGACAAAGAAAACTATAAAACTCAAGTTTCGAAATCGTGTGATTATTATTGATATGATTATGAACAATAAATTTTGTTCGAAACGTCATCCAGTAAATAATACTGTTTCACTGTGTGATACATCTAATAAACAAAATAATATGTGAAAGCAAAAGATTATGTAATCAACTGGGACAAAGAGATAGCCGTTGAGTTACCAAGGTAAAGAAAGACTAATAAGTGAATCATTCTGAACCCATAAGTCAGGTGTTGTACGCTTAATAGGGATTGAGGAGAGGAGTTTTATAGTATATTATTAAACCTGAAGGATTTCAACCTATTCACCTCATGGCCCATACCAACAAGATGTCTTGCGACAGCACTGTTCAAAGCATTAGTTCCCTTGAGGCGTAAAGTTTTTGATACATGCTCAGAGAATCTGAGATAAACTAAAAAATTTTACCTGGCGGAATTAGGCAATACAAATATGTCCTTTCGCCATAGTTTACTCTCCTTTAGCCCATTTAAACTAACAACAGGGAAGTTAAGCGCGAAAATATTCACCTTCCAGTCGGTTCTTTGTCAATGGATCTACAGTTAGATGTGACATTTTTTGTAACTCTGTATAATTCACTTATTTAGTCGTCATAAATTCAGTCCCACTCGCAGTCTACAATCTACACAGTTCAAGGTGAGGAAACACCACAATGTTCCTTGAAAATCAAAATTATTCGAATCACAGTACATACATATATATGATCTCCTTGATACCATAAATGGCAATGAAGAAAATAAGCATAAATGATTGACGCCATATACTACTGGCAGATTTATATGAGTAGTTGTATACCACTCAAATCGACCACTAGTGCTAGCTTGCTAGTCATATCGAAATCACGAAAAATATCCACTTATTCATAAGTAAAAACACAGTTTTTTGTTCAGTGAAGAAATTTCTTTTCAACGACTTCATTTTCAAGCTGTACAGTCGTATTTATATTACAGAAAAAGTTATTAGGTGCCACTAAACAATTGCTCAGTCAATATACATATATAAGTGATAAGAATAACGATAATTAAAATGTTATAAGGGGTAGAGGTGAAGTGGATGAATTACAAAATTATTGAAGATTGTTTTTTAAGTGAATTGATATCAAAAATATTTTTTCATGTCAAGCGTTGTCTTAAAAATTAGGAGTACGATTACGATAAGAATAAAGATGTGAAATGAAGTGGAATGAATTCAAGTGGTAAAATAAAATAAAGTAAAAACTAGAAAGAACATTACTATGACCAAGGTAAAGAAAGGGGTTTGACAAAACGTTTTTGAACACATAATTTAGGTTTCTGTTCATGTATAGCTAAAGCTTCGGCTATGCATAAGTGAAGAAAACGTAAACTTTTGGATCGATTCGATTTTGCCATGTATATAACTTTAAAGGATGAATCACTTGGGGCTGAATGACCAGACTCTAACAGGTGATCACAAATAGACGACTTCGCAGTTCTACGTTCGCCTTTCATTAACCAGACTGGATAGTGTTCAGCTACACGTTTTCGGAGATTACGCTTACAACGTCCAATATAAACAGCTCCACAAGAGCAGGTAAAAGAGTAAATACACATAGATGTGGACAAAAGCGGTAATCTATCCTTGACGCATTGTCTAATCATATTTCGGCTGGTAAAAACTAGTTGCAAGTCAGCTGCAGGAAAAGTACGTTTAATACATTTACATAAACGATTTTTAACCAATTCCGAAATGGTGTCACCTTTGAATGCCAGACTCATTAACAGTTTTTTCTTTGGCACTGTGATTTGTCTAGGGGCGAATTCTTTCTATCGAAGTGACTTAAACACCGGACAACCAAGTCAAGCTCATCCGAAAGGTATTTGGTTTTACTCAACTCAGAGAGTCAAATCAGTTCAGACCACCCGAATGGTGGTAATCTGTCGATATCAACATGTTAAAGGGATAATAATCACCTGAGAAAATAAGGCAATTGTTACATGGTGGAAAAAATTAATTGAGTGACAGTATAAAGAGTAGTCTTAATGATGATGAAAGAGACGAAATGAACACTTCTGAACACTTATGTTGTAAAAAATTTTGAGGAATATCAAAACTAAGAGAGTGACTGTTTAACTTTCTTAACAACGCATAGGTTCATCTTAATCAGGTGGGTATCCATAATTTTTCTGAGCTAAATGGCAAATGAATTCTTAAAGTGAAAAGGGAAACCGGACAAAATATGATAGCTGAATCCAGAGGCGTTTATGAGATATCAGTTCTGTATTAAGGGTAAACAAAGTATGCCTTGACTAACTAATTATGGAAGATGATTTTTCAGGATCCAATAATAGATCTAGCTAATTTAACACCAAGTGCAACTGCTTCCACATAAGCAGCTGAATTGGTAAACACAGACGGAAAATAAAAAAATTAAGCGGTCTGTCGTTGTTTCGAAAACTCCACGCTGGTTAATTGCTGCGCAGACAGTACACCTTTCATAAATAAAATATCGTTTTTACGTTGTTCTACAAATATTGAGTCATGGATTCTGTAGAAATGTCCTCAGGGATTATCCCATATTTGGTAAGTTGTTAAAAACAAATTATTCCTATTATTCATCCCCTGGATTCTGAATGAGGCATTCAGCAGCACACGTTGCCATTCTCCTCTATTATCTACCATCGTTTTGAAATGGTTCCATGGTCATCTACCAGTTCTCATTTCCTCTTCACATGACTCCCTCCACGTCACACTTAAAAAAACCCAACTCGTCTCTTTCCGTTTAGTTCCCGTGTGAAAGTCTCTCAAATGTGATCTCAGTCAACGGTCTCCACTGCGTACATCCAGTACATCTTCATTTCATTCTCCATATATTTGTTGGGCAACAGATTATTGGCTTTTCCGTCGCCAGGGTTCCTTGTCTCTTCCAAATCGTTTCTGGCAATCTGATCTTCATTGTGAAGCCGGCGAAGGCATGTGATGGTGATAATGACAGTCTGCAGTGACCTGTTGAAAATGATTTTCTTGACACATACGCGAAGTCTCTGAACCATAAAGAGGCACAGACTTTAAATTAATATTGAAAAGGCACATTCTGTTTTCCTAGTGCAGATCAGTTTGTATATTTCCACACTTATTTGAGAGTGATGAACTCTCACTTGCCTTGCTCTTCCAATCCTTAGTGGTATTGACATTATCATCACTCGTGCCAGCTGCCTGTAATGGAAACAATGAGTGAGAGAGGTGACTTCATTTAAATTTCCCGCATTGATGTTGATCGGTACTTGTTTTTGTTGGACGCTGAGTATTTTTCATCACTACTGTTTTCTCTTTACTCACCTTAATTCTTGTCTTTGTTCCTTCTTTTGTTAACCAGTTTGTTTATGCTTGTAGAATTTTGAGTGTGTTTGTGTGACATGCGAAATAAATCATACGCGAAATCCAGACCTTAAGGGTTTTCGTGTCAGTCCACCGTATGAATGCTTCCTCAATCGTCATGGTTGATTATAAGTTATCGCTGATAAACTGACCACCATTAGTTATTTATGACAAAACCAAGTTCACTTTTAACACTTTGAAAAAATTTGGGTATTGGGTATATGATATTCACTTTAATAAAGGTTCTTTGTATTTCCAGATGAACGAAAAACAAAACAATATTGTTTTAGTGACATTTCGCTATTTAATAGTCCTGCCAATGGCTTTATCGAAGTATTATTAAACCAGAATTTACAAAATCCTAGCAAAAGTATCAGTTGTTTCAAGTCTTCTTAGACGAGCACACTCTCTGATAATGGATGAGAAAGAAAAAGAAGAAGAAATATCAAACATCACTG